TTCAAATCTAAAAATTGATTTTTTTTCTATTTTTCCTGGGATAGATCGAGGGAGTATGTTGTGTATGTGACACGTGTAAAAGCTTGTGATCTGAAATATATAGCTGTAAAATGTGTACTATCGCCATCCTGAAGATTGATGCATATCGTATAATGTGTCCTGCGTGAAATCGTATTAAAAAATGCATGTAGTGCGTGTGTGACAGTGACAAACTGATCGAACCGAACTGCTTGTCCTAATTTATATTCTGGTTTGATATAGTATTGTTTCCTTTTGGAGATCGCAAATTTCACCTTTTGCCGCGAGTAAACTCACTGGATGCTATATGTAATTAAGTCTACGCCTGCATCAGGATTATTCAGGATCCTCGTGAAGATCTTATACGAACAAATCTCATCAAATTGAACGGTTTGTTGACGTCATCTGCATCTCTTGCTTTAGATATGCTGGGCACCATATGTTTCTGCAAATCTGATCGAGATGATGTGTGCGAAATATATAAAAATTATGTTTCAAAAGGGGGAGTTGGAATTGGAGGGTGACAGTATGCTCTGCACCAATTCCGCCACTCTTGTATTTTTTTATTGCTTTCCATTCTTCAACTTGTGATCTTAAATTCTTATCTCCGTCACAACACACGGATATAGTGCGCGTAAACAGAAAAAACTTTCATATTATTTCAACACATGCATGAATGTAGGGTTAGTTAGATGACACATACATGGTATTTGGTTGATTTCAAGCGCTGGACACCTAGAATATTTAGATATATGTGCAATTTTACTCCGTTTTAACAGCAATTTTGTTGTTATATATGTTTTTACTTTATTTTTATTTCATGTAATTTTGTAAATCTTTGTATATATGTTACCAATTTTTTGTTCAACCTGTTTATACTAAGAAGGGATTTTATTTAAATGAATAAATAATAGGGAGTGATATGAGAACCATATTGGATTATCATGCATGAAAAAAATGATAGAAAATTTAGTTTCAGGTAGCTAGAATTTAGACACTCCCTTATGATACACATGCACATAGTAGGAGGTGCACTTTTAATAGAACTTTAGACTAAGTTCGGGGGCAAGGGTTGGGAACCTTCACTCCTAGCACACAAAACAAAGTGATGTTTAGTGCATGACTAATTAAGTGTTATATTTTTTAAAAAAAATATTAATATAATTTTTAAAAGCAATTTTTGTAAATAAAATTTAACATACCGTTTAGCAGTTTAAAAATGCGTACGCATGAAAACGAGTGAGGTTGATTGGGAAAGGAATGAAACCAACTCCCACATGTGTTCACATCTTTCGTGTAATAAGAAAAATATACAATTTGTATATTTATGTGATATATTTGGACTGCATACCGTAAAAGCTGTCCATCCGCAAACACTATACACATGGCAGGGCAACTTGGTCCTCGATAAAACCTGACAAGTTCTCAGCTGGATCGATATCTATCTGTAGAGAGGCCACTAAGATAAAGATCAAGACGCCACTGTACGTACATGTGCCAAAATTGTCAAGGCGACAAGATTCGGGCAGGATGTGAAATGAGTCATGTTGGACAAAGAAGCATAAATAATTGCGTATCATCGATCGATCTAGCACGTACACAATCGAATATATTCATTTGTTAATTAGTACGTCGAGGAATGACCATTGACGGTCGACCACCGTAGCTATAGAGATTCATTCATTCATGACTTAATTAGGATACGATCTTCAACTAATTATATATAATACTGTGTTAAGCAATATATCTCCTAATTCAGAATTTCCACGGCGGCCACACCTCGTCTTTTCACCTTGATTGGATCCATTACTTTGATTGCGACTTGTATATATATGATTCACTCATCTACGTGCATCTCTTCTGCTGTAAGAAAAGGTAATTGGTTAAGATCTGTAATACTGATTAGATAATGATAGGTTATATTTCTCGGATGAGCACTGCTACATATAAAATTCTTATAAACAAAGTTCTCAACCATGCACTTAATTTAATCAGTTTAAATTAAAATTATAAAAAATCAACTTAGCAACAAAGTTTTGAACCGTTTAATTTGATCAGTTTAAAGTTATATATATTCCAGAGTCGGTCACAAAAATGTGTCGTAGTAATAAAAACTAAAGTGTTCCATCCGATACTATAGGTTCTTATATATATTTTAGAAAGAAAGAACTAAATGTATAGAGTGGCATGTATTCATAAGAGAGGAGGGAAATAAACAAGGGTTAAGGACAAGCTTTGGGTGTGTTCGGCACGGCTGGTTCCCAACTTTCTCCTCTCGTTTTTCGCTCGCATATTTTTTAAACTGCTAAACGGTGTGTTTTTTTTTATTAAAAAAAAAGTTTCTGTACGAGAACCTCCAGCAGCGACACTCCTCGGCTCTCCTGGCTGCAATGCATGCGGACAGCTGGATGCAACGTATACGATCGAGTACGTGCAAGCACACGCGGCTGGTTACCCGCGCGCGTCGCGTACGAGAGCTATAGAGCGAGAGCGCGATCAGGTGGCCGGCCGGTGGCCGTACGTCTGCAGCCGCGCGCAGGCCAGCGGCAAATAAAATCATGGATCCGTGGATCGATCGAACGTGCGTTTGGCTGTCACCACGATCGATCAACGGCCACGACAGCGCCACCTGCCCTGCACGACGACAAACGATCGACCAAAGAATCAAAGATCTACATGTCGGTGCGCTGCATGCATATGCTTCGCTACGAATCCGCCTCGCTGTGTGCACGCACGTACTAGGTTTTGGCCGACCAATATATTCCCCCGTTTCAAAATATTTGACACCGTTGACTTTTTAGTATGTGTTTGACCATTCGTCTTATTCAAAAAATTTAAGTAATTATTTATTCTTTTCATATCATTTGATTTATTGTTAAATATACTTTCATGTACACATATAGTTTTACATATTTCACAAATTTTTTGAATAAGACAAACGGTCAAACATGTGCTAAAAAGTCAACGGTGTCAAATATTTTGAAACGGATGGAGTAGCTCCCATCGCCACGCAAATATAATACTAGTACCTAAATATTTGACGCCGGTGACTTTTTTAAAATATGTTTAACCGTTCGTCTTATTTAAGAAATTTAAGTAATTATTGATTCTTTTCCTATCATTTGATTCATTGTTAAATATACTTTTATATATACATATAGTTTTACATATTTCACCAAAGTTTTTGGATAAAACGAACGGTCAAACATATAGTTAAAAGTCAACAGCGCCAAATATTTAGCGACGGAGGGAGTATATATAATCGTACAATGTTTCGTTTTGGCAGCTCTTGCATGCGACGCGACGCGATACAATGGGAGGCAAGGCAAAATGTCATCTCTCGTACCAATTTGTTTTCTTCTTTGCACTGGAAAAAAGATCCGTGCATTTCAAAGGGAAAACTAATATTGCATTAGCATTTAGATGATCACGGTTTGATTTTCATGATCTAACCCCTTCCAAAACAAATATAGCTGATTTTCAAATTTAATTTTCGGAGTTGATTTTGATTTTCCTTTTATCGTAGCTTATTTTTAAGCAAGAGCTTTTAAGTCGGCACGAAAAAATATAAAAAAAAATTATCCACGAATTAATATTTGATCGCTAATGCATCACATAAGCATGTCTTGACCAATATTCGACCAGTTCCGTATGTATAATAAGGCTCTACGTATCGTCTTTTCTGTTTTTCCTCGGTCCATCTAGGAGATGTGCCAAAGTGCACATATGTCGAGTCCTGGAAACAGCAGGAGATATGGGGACGTCGTGACTGAATCGCGCAACGCGTGCACTTGAACTCACAACGCACACTGATTAGGAGTGGAAACAAAGACACACAGCACCGAAACAATCGGGCCAGGGCCGATGGATGAAAAATCAGTATGGACTCGAGCAAGGTACCAAAATATTAGATAAAAAAATATTTTTAATGTTTATAATAGTGAAGATTAGTTATCGCAGGCACTGCACTTCAGGGTGAACGAGAAGCTATAGGTAATGGCACACTATGCAGCATAGACGTGCAATCTCTCTATACCACTCATCCTCTTATGGGATTCTCTATGGCCGGATCGATTGCATGGTAGGGATGCAAGGGCTAACGACGACTATTGCATCCGTCTCAAAAAGGATGTGTTTCTACTATTTAAAATTTATCCTAAAAATATTATACCTAGAACCTAATAACTAATTAATTTGAGAAAGCTAATTAGGTGAACTAATTGGCTGAACATACCTAGCGTTCTATGCGGGGGATGTGAAATTTCTTTATCTTCCATTTTAAGTTTACTGGTTCACTTATATATTTGTCCTTGTAAAATTAACGGGTTGTTTGTCTAATGCTCTTTCATCTCAATGTGTTAATAGTATAGGGTTTATATGCTGAATTTGTCTCAACTTTTTTAATTTATTTTTGGATGTGTGGTCTAGCTAGTTTGGACTGAATATAAAAAAAAATGGAGAAGGAAGGAATCAAACCTAGGGTGGCTATACTAACCGTGCTGCTAGCCATTAGGCCCAAGTTAGTTTTTTTTTTGACTAAATTTTGTCGAGTGGTAAATTCTTTTGAGAATTTTTCATGAATGGTTTTCGAATACATAATAGGATATCCCTCGAGGGTTCAAATGTGTTACCGGCCGAACTGCCTGCATACAACTCCCTTGTGGAGTACAAATTAATGGCCGCCCAGAATTCTGGATTCCGGTAGTGTATGTATATATGTGACCTATTATATTCCCACTTGTATTAATTCTTTTACGTGTTTAATTATATCGACTTTAATTACCTCTCACAAACCATGGTATGCATGCAACACCATGTAATCTAGATTCTAGAAGGATATATATCACCCTTAATTAGCCTTTAAAAAGACTCTCCCCTAATCTCCAAAACGACAAACCAAACCAAACCAAATCTTTCAGTCCTTGTCACACAGATCTCAGAGAGCCTCAAGTCTCGGTCACCACAGCTCTACTGTCTATCTAGCTATCTATCAGCTGCCTTCCATCGTCAGCACACAAACTACACAAGAATCTGCTTATTTATAGGCCACCTTGTCCCTTCTACAATGGTGCAAGAACACACAAATTCACACACACACTGACACACACAAACCGATCGATTGATTGATTGATAATGAAGCAAGAGCAGGTCAGGATGGCAGTGCTCCTCATGCTCAACTGCTTCGTCAAGGCCACGGCGCCGCCGCCATGGCCGCCGTCGGCTTCGTCCGCCTCCTTCCTCGACGACCTCGGCGACCTCGGCATCGCGCCGCTCATCCGCGCCGACGAGGCGGGCACCGCGCGCGCCTCCGCCGACTTTGGCAACCTCTCCGTCGCCGGCGTCGGGGCGCCTCGGCTCGCCGCCGCCGCCGCCGTGCTCTACCCGTCGCGCCCCGCCGACATCGCCGCGCTGCTGCGCGCGTCGTGCGCACGCCCGGCGCCGTTCGCGGTGTCCGCGCGGGGGTGTGGCCACTCGGTGCACGGCCAGGCCTCCGCGCCCGACGGCGTCGTCGTCGACATGGCGTCGCTCGGCCGCCTGCAGGGCGGCGGCGCGCGGCGCCTCGCCGTGTCAGTGGAGGGGCGGTACGTCGACGCCGGCGGCGAGCAGCTGTGGGTGGACGTGCTGCGCGCGTCCATGGCGCACGGGCTCACGCCGGTGTCGTGGACAGACTACCTCCACCTCACCGTCGGCGGCACGCTGTCCAACGCCGGCATCAGCGGCCAGGCCTTCCGCCATGGCCCCCAGATTTCCAACGTGCTAGAGCTCGACGTCATCACCGGTACGTAGATCCATCACATCTACTAAGACACGCGCCGCCATGATCGAGGTAATTAAGGTATAGGTGTTTTGACGTATACATGTATCTGCAGGTGTCGGGGAGATGGTGACGTGCTCGAAGGAGAAGGCGCCGGACCTGTTCGACGCGGTGCTGGGCGGGCTGGGGCAGTTCGGCGTCATCACGCGGGCGCGCATCCCGCTCGCGCCGGCGCCGGCGAGGGCGCGGTGGGTGCGGTTCGTGTACACGACGGCGGCGGCGATGACGGCCGACCAGGAGCGCCTCATCGCCGTCGATCGCGCCGGCGGCGCCGGCGCGGTGGGCGGGCTGATGGACTACGTCGAGGGCTCGGTCCACCTGAACCAGGGCCTGGTCGAGACCTGGCGCACGCAGCCGCAGCCGCCTTCGCCGTCCTCCTCCTCCTCCTCATCCTTCTTCTCCGACGCCGACGAGGCCCGCGTCGCCGCGCTCGCCAAGGAGGCCGGCGGCGTGCTGTATTTCCTCGAGGGCGCCATCTACTTCGGCGGCGCCGCCGGGCCGTCCGCCGCCGACGTTGACAAGGTATACTAGCTAGCTACTAGCTTGCTCTGCGCTGAGCCGACCAGAGCGGGTCCCACCTCGTGATGATGGCGGGAACAACTAAGCTGCAAAAACTTTTGGCGCCACCTGGGGCTTACGCTTACGCACGCATGCAATTAAGGGGTGTTCTAGATGGGGCTAAAACTTTTTAGCCCATGTCACATCGGATGTTTGGACGCTAATTTGGAGTATTAAATATAGACTAATAAAAAAACTAATTTCATAAATGAGAGCTAATCCGCGAGACGAATTTTTTAAGCCTAATTAATCTATAATTATAAAAGTTTATTGTAGCATCACATTGTCAAAATCATGACATAATTAGACTCAAAAGATTCGTCTCGTGAATTAGTCCAAGATATGGAATATGTTTTATAATTAGTGTATGTTTAATACTCCAAATTAGTATTCAAACATCTGGTGTGACATGGACTTGGAATAAGTCCGTGGAAACCAAACAGACCCTAACGGTGCATGAAATTGAAGTCTCTTGCGCCGTCGACATCGTCGTACTTGGCCTACCACTTTTGTCTGCCACGCGATGCACCTCTCGCTATCACACACCTAACTGGAAGTAATTAAATAATTATTCGATTCTGTGTTAATTTTTTTTTATCTTCCTTAGTTCCCGGAGAGACAAAGATTAGATACTATAGTAGCAACTTAGTAAGCTAGTATATGGAGTATTAGGTTAGTCGCTCTCACTAAGCTTAAACAGGTGTATAAAATATATGCATCGTCTGATCGTGACATATTCTTTTAGCTACTTATGGTGAAAACTTTTTCGTCCAAAACAGTGAAAAGCATGCGTGCTAGTGTAGGTAGTAGCTACCAGGACGAATTATATCATTAACAGTATTTGTAGCACATCAAGGAAAAACTTGTCTTTTTAAACACTGTTACAGTCTTCAGAACGCACAACTTTAACAGGTATTTTTGTATTATATTTTTTTAAAAAAAAATAAAGGTAATAAAATTATGGTATTGTAAAAGTATATTTTTAAGGAAAATCATATAACCAATCAAAAGTTTATGAAGATATACATATTGATGTTCAAAGTTACTAAAAGTTGACTTAAACATCACATTTTCATCTTGACCAAAGAGGGTTCATATATATACTCCCTCAATTTTAAAATATAAGCATTTCTAATTATATGCATCTAGACAAATGCATATAAAAATACTTTATTTTTTAAAGTGAGGGAGTATCAATTTTGAGCATGTAGCTAGACTAGATTAGTGTATGTCTACGCACATATCTGTTGTTCTGCACAAAACTACTACTCATCGGTCCTAAAATATAAGAATTTAAAATTGGATGGGACATACCCTAATACAATGAATTTAGACATGGACATATACTAGTAATACCATGTACTACCTCCATCCCAAAATAAGTTCACTTTTCATCCATCTCACACATACCAATAGAAAGTACTACAAATTTCGGTTATTCTCTATTTTCACAAACTCCGATGCAATGATTATTTTAAAAATAAACTTATTTTAGAATAAATGGAATGAGCAAAATATAAACTGGTGTGTTTGAGGAGAAGGGGATTGAGGAGATTGGGAAGATACGCAAAACGAGGTGAGCCATTAGCTCATGATTAATTGAGTATTAACTATTTTAAATTTCAAAAATGGATTAATATGATTTTTTAAAGCAACTTTCCTATATAAAATTTTTACAAAAAACACACCGTTTAATAGTTTGGAAAGCGTACTTGCGGAAAACGAGGTGCTTTCTCCCTCAATGTCGTCCAAACGAACGCTGCCTTATTACGGGACTGAGGAATTAGAGCTTTGCCAGAAAGAAATCAGCATCGCCAGCTTGGACCTACCATCCATGCATGCATCATGTGGCCATTGACACATCACATAGTATGTGCTAGCTAGCTAGCTTTTGATCATAGTTACATGTATCTAGCTAGGCTAGAAGCTGGAAACCGATGGATATGATGGATCTCTCATGGATGACAGGCCAGCCAAAGATCTGTGCGCCACTAGATACAGTGCATGCATCAGCTTGTATGGTTATAACCCTAGCTAGCCAGCTTTAGCACACACATGCATATGCATGCATGAGCCCCCATCTTTTGCAACACGACCGACCAACTATGTTGGCTCTATATAGATAGCTAGCTAGTTATTCCATGCATATACAGTTTGCATTTCCTAGCTATAGCTTTTGCTATGTGATCCGAGAAGATCCTGCATGCCCACACGTGACACGTCACACACACATGTGGACAAAGTACTGCCTCACTTTATCCTTGCATGACGTCACGTCGCCACCTGTCCATCCACGCTGCTAGTGCTGGCAAAATTAATAACTCGATCAAATTTCGGTGATCTCTCTGCAAAGAATTTGATGAATTTTACCAACATATATGCTTTAATTTCTTTGCTTGATTTTATTTGCAGAGGATGGATGTGCTGCGTCGCGAGCTGCGGCACGAGCGCGGGTTCGTGTTCGCGCAGGACGTGGCGTACGCCGGGTTCCTGGACCGCGTCCACGACGGCGAGCTCAAGCTCCGCGCCGCGGGGCTCTGGGACGTGCCGCACCCATGGCTGAACCTGTTCCTCCCCCGCTCCGGCGTCCTCGCCTTCGCCGACGGCGTCTTCCACGGCATCCTCAGCCGCACCCCCGCCATGGGCCCCGTCCTCATCTACCCCATGAACCGCAACAAGTAATAATAATAATAAAAAGCTTTACTACATATACACATGTATATAATTTTTACGGGGTGGATTTTTTCGTTCAAAATGACGACCCCTCATATTGTGCGTGTCGTCTGAAAACTTATTAAAATGTTTAAATAAAAAATTAATATGATACATAAATATATTATATATCACTATATAAACATTGTAATCTTAAACTCAACTTGCACAAGTAGTAAAAAAACAAATTTGACTGCAAATAGTGTGTACTAAGTTATTTATTTACTTATGCTAGTATGCTACTTGAATTTAAACGTACATATTTATGAAGTGGTATATTATATATTTCCAGAGTATTTTTATGGTTCTTTTACGACATGAAAAACAATGTCCGTTCTCTTGAAGGATGAATAGACTTTCCTTAATTTTAACATATATGGTGGTAACTAAACATACACACACCTGGATATGTTTCAGGTGGGACAGTAACATGTCGGCAGTGATCACCGACGACGACGGTGACGAGGTGTTCTACACGGTGGGGATCCTGCGGTCGGCGGCGGCGGCCGGCGACGTGGGGAGGCTGGAGGAGCAGAACGACGAGATCTTGGGTTTCTGCGAGGTGGCCGGGATAGCCTACAAGCAGTACCTGCCTTACTACGGCAGCCAGGCAGAGTGGCAGAAGCGGCACTTCGGTGCCAATCTCTGGCCAAGATTCGTGCAGCGGAAGAGCAAGTATGATCCAAAGGCCATCCTGTCCCGTGGCCAGGGGATTTTCACGTCACCACTCGCATGAAATGACACATGTATGCAAATGCATATCTACATGCGTATATATACACGTATATATACGTATGTATGCATACACATATGGGTGTACTGTGCATACGTTATAGCACACTGCAGCTAATTAAGCTTGACAGGGAGATCGATCAATGGACAATGCTCTAGTCAAGCTAATATAAATAATGGAGTAGTAGTATATATGTAGTGCGAGATAATTAAGTAGTGTGTTTGCCTACTAAAAGGAGAGGCAAAGTAGTACTGTGATGCATGCATGCCAACTAATAGGTGATAAGTACGTGTGTGTGGCCGCATGTATGATTAGAAGAAGTTGGTTTTTAATTAATTAATTAGGTCATGTATGTAAATATATAGTACAGTACTACGTACTACTAGTGTACTACCAGCCAATTTGCATGCATGCATGGATGCCTTCATATGCATGTCGATCTCAAACGTACGGCATGCTTGAATGCATCATGATGCATATCTATCGTCGTCTTGTGGGTGTAAACTAAATTAATCTTAGTTATATGTATTATAAGTTTGCAATATTTTTCCATGCATATGAATGCTAGTAAGATATCCCTCCTTACGTCCAAGAAAAAAAAATTTACTTCTAGAATACTTGTATATCTAAATTCATTCATATATATATATATATGTATATATGTGTGTGTGTATATGTATATGTATATGTATATGTATATGTATATGTATATGTGTGTGTGAGAGAGTTTTGTTTTGGGGGAGAGAGATCTAGATGCTCCAAAGTCCATTCTCATACAGTATTTCTCACGAAAAGGGAAGTCAGCTTATACTAATAATTATCACATACTCGATCAGTCCAAAAGAAATTCAATCTTGAATCGAATGTGGCACCTCCTAATATAACGAATCTAGACAACCATATGTTTAAATTTATACCGGGAGAAGATGTAGGGGTTACATTTTTCTCTTAGATTAAGTTTTTTTTTACGGAGGGAGTACGTGACAACGGGGCCCGTACGTCTACGTGCACGTACGTACAGCGCTGTACGTAGTACAGATGGAAAATCCAACGTTGAAAATCTCTTCACGTCATGAAGACGTGGAGAGATTTGTGACGTGAAGAGATTTTGTGCGACATGCAGCAGCAGTAGCAATCTGTACTGTGAGAGTGACGACTTGTCACCTATCCTGAATTATTAGTGCTCGATGTTGGGTGTACAAGCTAGATCCGAGCCAGATCTCCGATGGTACTACCGCTGAAAGGAACAGTACTGCATGCATAACTGTGTAGGAGTATATATATATGGACAAAAGTTACTTTATTTTATACCTAAGATATTTACAGGAGACTTAAATAAGTATGTTAAAAAAATATAAAATTAGTTATTATCGATTAAGATGATAAAATAAGTCCATAAACTAAATTCGGTTTACAACTAGGAAAAAAAAGTTAAATCAGCTAGCCGTAGTACATCGCTAAACATCTGCAGTGCAATTAGCATTTGTTATTTTTGGTCGAATTTAGATTTACGTGTTTATGTAAGAGCTTGTATCATCGTACTCTATCGTATCAAATTTTATGATATCCATTTAAATTAATCACATACATACACCTAGTAGCTCAGTCCTTGTATTAAACTGCATCAATTCAGGACATTTTCCTGGCTGATGTAGGATCATGACCTATATAGGTATATAGACCTATCTAGCTTTATTTTGTATGATACTGTTTGGGATCTGTTTCGGCTAAATCTGTTAGCTTTAGCTGTTTGCTTTATGTGTAAACAAATACAGTATCAATCGTTTACTCCGAAAGATCGAGGCTGTAGTACTTTCTAGTCACCGTATAAGATATATGCGATTAAATCAGGATCTGGTACGAAGATCTTGCAAGATAATCACGAAGAAAAAACGTACACATTTGGTTTGACGTCTGCAGCTTCAGTATATATATTTACTCCTTCCATCCCATAAAAAACTATCTAGTACCGAATGTGACGTTTCTAGCACTATAAATAATTTGAATATACATATCTATGCAGATCTATAGTACTGGACGTATCACATCCGATCTAAATTCGTTTTTTATGAGACAGGGGGAGTATATACAGTATATACCTAGCTATCTACCCGCTTTTCTTACAGATCTTCCACATCCAGCACGTACTGTGTATCAAGCCAGAATTGACGTAAGATCGATCGATCGATCCATATGGAAACAAGAGACACGAGATCCCAGAAAGGCGTACGTGATCACGAGTCAAGATCGATGGAGAAAGAGGGAGATCGAAGCAAAGGATATCTTCAGGCGAATCTGGGGAAAGAAACTCTGGCCTTTTCCTGATACCTTGCAGAGCTCGATCGATCGATGTAAGCCAATCATCAGAAAGACAATTGACGACGACGGCTAACGACACCGGAGATTCACATCATCATCGATATATCACATGGATAACAACGACATTGTTGGTTGCTTTTGAGCTGGCCAATCTGTGTTTAGTTCCAACAACGACTTGATTAATTATCAATTAATTAATTGGTAATTAATTTGAGGACCGAAATATGATCGAGTAGCTTTCTGTTTGCACAAGGAACACTCGATCTGTCTGCGCATGACAAGAAACCACTATATATATGCACTCACATAATAACTTAGCTGATAGCTTTAATTAACTGAAACAAATTAACGGCCGGCGTCGGTCGATGCGTACGTGAATTAATTGTACAACATGTGCACATAATTGATTCAAATTAAGGCGATTGATAGAGAATAAATCTAAATATATATATATATATATGTTTATTATAGTCTCCAGGAGTAGTAGTGGTTAGTATCACTGGAGTAGTAAGCTAGTACCTGGTGATCTGAATTTTTAAGAAAAAGATTGGGATAGCAATGTGACAAGTACTAGTACTGCGTATCTAACCGGAGATCTGCAGCCGGGCAGTGCGGTTGCATGAGCATTCCATTTTCGGTCACCGCCGCGACGCCGCCCAACTTCCCATATTTGAACGCCAAATGATCACCCCAACTTATATAGCAGATGTGGTACGCCAAAGTAAAATTTGCCCTGACTCCAAGTATATCGCATATGAAATAATTTTTTTGAAACAATATAGCATATGAAATATTAATGCTATTAGAGATATTTTGGCCGTTTCTCGGCAGTTGATACTCGGCAATTGCGAATCTAAATTGGAGAAATATATATATTAGAGAAATATTTTGGCCGTTTCTCACTAGTAAATTGCTTGTTTTTTGAGAATCTTAGATTTCTCTAAGGGGGTGTTTAGATCTAGGGGTGTAAAGTTTTGGCATGTTACATCGGATATTATATAGGGCTGGGTGTCGCATGTGGTGTTCGGGCACTAATAAAAAAACCAATTACAGAATCTGTTAGTAAACCGCGAGATGAATTTATTAAGCCTAATTAATTCGTCATTAGCAATGTTTACTGTAGCACTACATTGTCAAATCATGGAGCAATTAGGCTTAAAAGATTCGTCTCGCAAATTAGTCGTAATCTATGCAATTAGTTATTTTTTAGCCTATATTTAATACTTCATGCAGGTGTTCAAACGTTCGATGTGATATGGTGTAAAATTTTGGGGTGGATCTAAACACCCCCTAAACATATTATGGTACGCCATGAACACACCTCTTGCCCTATGCCTCATGCCCATTACCATATAGGCTGTTTCATTTCCTTGTGTTGGGAACTAATTAATCTCCTCCACATGGAATAAAACGAGATCTCTTATTAGCGCATTATTAGTTAATAAAATTTGCTAAAAAAACTTGAAAAGGGAAATTAATATGATTTTTAAAACAGCTTTTCTAGAGAAACAATTTATGAAAAACACGATGTTTAACTGTTTGTGAAACGTGCGTGCAGAAAATATAGTGAAGTTGGAAAAGTTGTGCAAAGAAGAGTTTTTAAGTAGCTACATCTGCTTCAAGAGAGTCTCCCACTTCTCCAAACTACCAAAATTGTTAGACTTTTACTGCACACACCTCGCAACTTGTTTCTCAGACTCTACCGCTCTTCCAAATGTCCTATATATGAAATGCAACATTTCCAATTTTAGATACATATATGACATCGTTGGTTTTCTTAATTTGGCTTTTTATAGATAATTGTGCAAATACACTTGAGGTACAAGTCACGTTTAAATTAATTATGATGATCTATTAGTAATTTTATTCAATTTATTTATTTATTTGAATAATATCATTGGCCAAAATTTAGAGAAAAACCAATGGTGCCATATATATTTAAAATAGTTGGTTGAGCTCACCAAAGTTGGAGAAGAAGATATCAATCCGAGATGGACAACAAATCTGTATAATCCTAAGATCATGAAATTCAATATTTCTTAAAAAAATATTATTTGGTCGATGATTAAAAAGATACAATTCCCTCTCCATTTCATATTATAAGTCACTTATTTAAGTTTGACCAAATTTTATAAAAATGTATATTAGCACTTTTAACACAAACCAAACATATTATCAAAATATATTCAATACTACTAGATAAAACTAATTTAATGCTCTAGATATTTCTAAATTTTTCTATAAACTCATCCGAACTTGAAAAGAATCCCAGGGACTAATTTGTATGGCCGATGAATGGAAGGGACCTGGCTAAAAAAGAATCCCCAAGAAAAGCAGGCCCACAACCGCAAGGCGGCCCAACACCAGAAAAAATTCACCGCATTCTTCTGCTCCACTGAGCACTCCCCCTGGCCACATGCATCTCGCCGCCGCCGACCACCCCCACCGCGGCGGCGGCGGCCGCGCCGCCCTCGGCCTCGGCCTCGGCCACCTCGCGGCCGCGGCGCTCCGCCGGGAGCACCGGCGCCGCGCGCTCGCCGGGGGGGCCGTCCTCGCCTCGGCGCTGCTCCTGGTGGCCACGCCGCGGCTCCGCCACTCCCCCGCGCTCCACCTCTTCGCCGACATGCGCAACCTCCTCGGCGTCCCCAACACGCTCAACGTGCTCACCGCCTACCCGCTCCTCCTGGCGGGCGTGCCCGGGCTCGTCCTCTGCCTCTGTGGCAGTGGGTGCTTCGGCATCAGGTGCGCGCTCCGCCCTTTGCCCTTGCTCGGCTGCTGTTCGGTGAAATGTCTCGCCTAAAGGATTATAAAGAAGTGCGTGAAGTTACATTGTTTCGTGATTTGCAGCGAGGGAAGAGCTGTAATTAAAGTATTCGAGAATCGAGTACCACGAGCTTGAACAAAATTATATAGGAGGTCAATTTACCCTGATTATGCTCGAAAACCTAGAGAGAGGAGGCCAGCTTGTGCCTAATTGTTTCATAACTGCTCATTTTACTACTCCCCTGGTTATGAACTTATTTACAGTTACCACCAAAGTGAAAGGGTGGTTATGAACTCCCCTGGCTCTAATAAACTGCTTCTGTCTGAGAGAAAGATGGACTGTAATGTTGGTGACCAGTGAAATAATATTTTTGCTGCTATGCTAGTATAACTTTGCCTGGGCCTGTAGCTATTACATGCTTATTCATCTAATTGCTTTAATAATCTGTAATCTTGCTATATTATAGAGTGGGTATATAATGGAATTTGAGCTAGGGTGTTCCACCAAACCGTGTACTCAAATCTTTAAATTTGATGTTGAAATTTTATTTAACAAGTGTGTGATCTTCATGTTTCTTGAAATACTGCTTATTGTACAACTAGGCTGGTATTGAGGGCATGATGCTTAAAGAGATATTCCTATTTTGCTATCCTTATTTAACAGAAAAACAGATCAGCAGGTAAGATCTGGTGTTTAATATTTTGTTTTTACTGTGGAATTGTGCAGCTTGAGATGGGAGGCCTTGGGATGGTTCCTCTTCTATGCTGGGAATGTAGCAGCAGCATTTGGCTCGGCTTACTATCACCTCAAACCAGATGATGACCGCTTAATTTGGGACAGGTTGCCGGTATCTAAATATCTCATCTTTCTGTAATTTCCCCATCTACTGTTTACTTATTTCGTGGTGTTTTCCATGGTTTCTGGACTTGGAATTTTTTTTGATATGTTGTCATTTTATGCTTCGAGTCCATTGGGAGAAAAAACTGTATTAAGTAGTTCATGTTCAAAAAATGCAGTTCACCTACTTGAATGTCCTTAATATCATCGAAGTATTAACCATAGGCAAAAAGAGAAAAAAAAGGATGTGTCTGAGTTTCCATACTACTGTGCTAGGCAGCCAATCTGACTATCATGTTATCGTGCATAACCAATGCTATTAATGAATATGTATCTATCCTTTTCCTCGATATGAATGTTCACTGGATGCTATGAACGCAGATGATGATATCAGCTTCTTCAATGTTGTCTATATTGGTAATTGAAAGAGTTGATGAAAGGGCTGGGTTATCTTGTTTGCTATCACTCTTATCTCTCATACTGGTGAGCAGCGCATGTGAAAGGTAATAGTGCCCCAGCACCTATAGCGTGTTCCATTGTTGATGTCAGTATATCAGATAATAAAATGAGTCCTCTTGCTCTGTTCTCGATGATTTCAGGGTTCTTGATGATATGCGGTTATGGGTAGTTTTGAATTCCGCTCCTTGCATTGCAATTCCTGCAATGCTATTCTTGTTTCCTCCAAAATATACACACTCAAGATTTTGGTTTCTTGCCACAGGTAACCGTTAACATCTTATGTAGTAAGGTTATGTTAGCAGAAACTCTTTCTACAAAAAAAAGCTTGAACGAAAACTGTTGTTTGATTGGCATCTTGGTGCAGGTTTTTACCTTCTTGCAAGATTTGAAGGCCTTGCTGACAGAAAGGTATACAGTGTGAACCGGTACTTCATCAGCGGCCATTCCTTGGAGCACCTTTGCTTCGCGATGGTTACCTTGATTCTTACTGTGATGCTGTCCTTCAGAAATGTTAAGATCGTCAGGTACATTTTTTGAACGGCTGTTCCATAGAATAGTTCTGCTCAACCTTTTTCCATATTATGATAGGTCTAGCAACTCAAGGACATGATCGCTCTACACTTCCAGTAAATAGTATGCATATCCTGAAGCATCTCTTTAGTACACTATGCCTGTGAAATCGTTTGTGCAAAATGCAAGTTATATGCCTCATGCTAATCTTGGTTCTATTCTACATCTCCGCAGAGACTCATGACATCCTCTGCTGGTCAGGGATCATCTCAAAGTTCTGAATGTTCAGAAGACGGCCACCGATGCAGCTGACAAAAACTTTCTTCACAGCTAACTCATCTACCTTATCCTTGTTTTTTTTTTTCCCTTGGTTTCCATTCTCTCCTACACCCTGATGTGTTCCAGATTGATGTGCCCCTCCCTGACTTTGTATGTTCATGTTGTAATTTGTGAAGCAACCCAGAATTGTACGTGTTTTGTTAACTTTTGAGGGTAAAAAAAAAGGTACTTAACGGCGAGATTGCAGTGCTAATTTTTGCCCTGAATTCAATTCAGCCATCCATTCCTCAGTTTATATTAGAAGTCGTTTGATTTTTTTTCCGTTGTTAAAGTTTCTCATGTTTGATCAAGTTTGTAGAAAAAAATAGCAACATCTATAAAATTAAATTAGTTTCATTAAATTTAATATTAAATATATTTTGATATATTTGTATTGATTAATATATTTTTTTTACAAATTTGATTAAACTTAAAAAAAAGTTTGATAAATAAAAAAGTCAATCGATTTATAATATAATCCGGAGTTCATAACTTTTGCTTTTACTGGCAAGTGGGACCCACTCCCAGATGCGCTGTCTCCTTCGCGCTCGCGGCTCTACCTCTCGTCCCAGCCATCGGCCTCGCGGCGCGCGCCATCTCTCCACCGCCGCCGGCGACCAACCGATCCACCATCACCACCCTCCGACCACCAGCGCCGTCCCATGGAATCGCCTCCTCCGCGCCCACCTCGGCCGTTCCCGCGGGGACCTCGCCCTCGCGCTCTACCGCCGCATGCGCGCGCTCTCCCCGGCGCTGCCGAACTCCTACACGCTCCCCCTCGCCCTCCGCGCCGCCGCCTCCCCGCGCGTCGCCTCCGCCGTCCACGCCCACGCCCTTCACCTCGGCCTCCACGCGCAGCACGACGTCGCCGGCCAGATCCTCGCCGCCTACTCCAGGCTCGGCCGCGCCGCCGACGCACGCCGCGTGTTCGACGCAATGCCGCCGGGGAGGACGACCTTCCACTGGAACGCGCTCATCTCCGCCTACTCCAGCGGCTGCGACCCCGACGCGGCGAGGGACGCGTTCGCGCGCATGGCCGCCGCAGGGGCGCGTCCCGACGCCGTGACGTGGACGGCGCTGCTCTCGGCGCACGCGCGGAGCGGGAAGCACGCGGATGTCCTTCAGCTGTTCGGTGAAATGCAAAGGAGCGGCTGCGAGGGGAACGCCGAGTCCATGGCCGTGGCGCTCTCGGCGTGCCCTTACGCCGGCGACCTTGCATTGGCCAAAGGGAAGGCGATACACGGCTGCGGCGTCGTGAAGGGCCTCATGCATGGCTACCTGTTCGTCACCAACTCGTTGATCTGCATGTACGGCAAGCTCGGAGAGATGGACGACGCCAAGAAAGCTTTCAGGGACGCGACGGCGAAGAACACCGTGACATGGAACACCCTGATCACCAGCTACGCCGCGGCTCGGCTGTGCGACAAGGCGTTGGACGTGCTCGCCCAGATGGAGCAGATCGGCGGCACGGTCGCGCCCAATGTGGTCAGCTGGAGCGCGGTCATCGGCGGGTTCGCGTCGTCCGGCGACACTGACCGCGCACTGGAGCTGTTCCGGCGAATGCAGCAGCAATGGCTCTCGCCGAACGTGGTGACCATGGCGACCGTCCTCTCCGCTTGCGTCGACCTACTGGCGTTACGGCTGGGTCGAGAGCTCCATGGCCACGCCATGAAAGCCGAGCTAGATAGGCACTCGCTGGTCGAGAATGGGCTCATCAACATGTACGCGAAGTGCGGGAAGGTCTCCGGCGCACGGAAGGTGTTCGATGGAATGAAGACGAGGGACCTGATCTCATGGAACTCGATGCTGGCCGGCTACGGCATGCACGGCCTGTGCGACGAAGCCCTCGCTCTGTTCACCGACATGGCCGGAGCTACGGTTGAGCCCGACGGCGTCACCTTCGTCGCCGTCCTGTCGGCGTGCGGCCACGCCGGGCGTGTCACGGAGGGCCGCCGCCTGTTCGATCGCATGGTGAGAGCGCACAAGATCTCCCCATCCATGGAGCACTACACATGCATGGTCTACCTCCTCGGCCGCGCCGGCTTGCTCCGGGACGCGTCGGAGCTCGTCGAGACGATGCCGGTGAGACCTGACCTGTGCGTGTGGGGAGCATTGCTGAATTCCTGCAGGATTCATGGTGATGCAGCCATGGCCGAGGCCACCATTGCCAATGTCCTGCAATCCGAGGACCAGAGCACCGGCAACCACATGCTGATCACCAACCTGTACGCCATGTGTGGCATGTGGGACGAGTCCAAGAAGGTGAGGGTGATGACGAAGGAGGCCGGATTGAGGAAGAATCCGGGGCAGAGCTGGATTGAAGTGGACAACAAGGTGGTCGCCTTCGCCGCCGGGAGCGCGCCGCCGAATCTCACCGGAGCTGAGGATGTCTTCGGAATGCTCGATGATCTATATGCAGAGATGGAAGATGAACAAAGATGAACAGCAATGCACCATGGATGATACTGCTAGCCTAGTAGCCTTCTACTGCCTCTGAATTTCTCAAGCCATTCCTCAAAAGAGAAACAAGAAATCCGAAGCAAGCAGCAAGCCATCACCAATTCACCCATCAGTGCAGGCTGTGGCATAAATGGCTCGGTCCCAGTTGTTTCTGCATTGAAGAAAGCTCAATTCCATCAGGGCATCCACAGGCAAGAAATCTTCATGGCCGAAGTACCAGATAGGATATATGAGAGCATTTGCTGGTCGTCAGCCAACCACCTGAATCTCTCAGGTTTTATGGTCAAGGACTCTGGACTTTCAGGCGCCCAAGAGCTTGGCAAGCGCATTACACCACGGTTGCAACTAGCAACATTAAAAGCTCCACCAGGAACAAATTCTGGTTACGGGTTCGGGCTACTATTGACGATGGTGAAATCGCGCGGTCAGTTATCAAACTCTACTTGGGTAAGATTGAGGTCAGCTTCCTGTGACGCTGCCAGAAGGCGGCGTCGCTCTTCTCCTGAGCCAGCAGCTCCTCGAATGTCATCTCTGCGGCCTCGGTGGCAAGGGCATCCTCACGTTCGGCCTTCTCCACCAACGCACTAAGCTCAATCAACTGCCAAGGTAAATGGCATTGTTATCACAACCTTCATATTTCAATATAACAGGGCAGAGTTGCTTTTAATAAGAACATAGTAAAAGTTTACCAGTTTGTATGACTCTGACATCTGAAGCTGCTCTTGAATATAGTTGTAGATATCCGCATCCTTCTTTAGCCTTTTGTGCTCGGCTTCCAATTTATGCACCTATGCCAATACCCGAGACGTCAGTATATAAAAGAGACATCAAAAGATGTTGTTAGCAAAGATTTGCATGAATAGATCTTCTGGTCGCAAATGTATCACTTAGTCGTGTTGGTACGAAATTTGTTTTTGTCAAATGCATCACCTGTTCGCAGAGGCGGTCATAACTGTTAGCCCTGCGACTACAAGGGTTGGATAGTAAGGCCTTCTTTATTCTGCAGCTTCTTTGAACCATCTCCGACCTAATAGGCATAACACATTATTTGGAGTAATGGATGTCTGAAGCTAAATTTCATGCAAATAGCAACATACTTGTGCAGCAGTTCATTTCTTGCATCTACCAAACAGTTAATGAACTCGTGAACCTGAAAAAAAAAGTTAAAAGCTATATAAATCATGATACACTTCAACATTACAGGGTAGAATCTAATTCGTAGAGGCTGTTACAGAATGTAGAAAACTAAAAGCCAAAAGAAACAAATAGTCGCTGAACAAAAGAAGCTTTGGTTTCTTTTGAGCAGCTCAACGTTGTCTCAAGCCCATATTACCTGGTTGAGGCAGCATAACAGAACATATGAATTGTGTGTTGTCCTTTGAGTTGGTGGCTTCACTCTTAACTCGAAACAAAATTCTGGAGTCTTAACACTACTACAAAAAGGCGGTTGACAAACAGGATTCCTATTTCTGGTATATAGTTGGTTAAAATGTAGAGCACACAGACCAAGGAATCTAATCACTGAAGAAGTGGCCATTTAATCAGATTATATGGTCCAAAATATTGTGATCAACCCAGGAACAGAGCAAGCAGCTAAGATACTACTCCCTCCGGTTCCATAATTTTTGAAGTTTTGGACAAGGTTGAGGTCAAACTTTTGTAACTTTGATTATCAATAACTTCAAAAATATTTAGTTTAAAGGAACTAAAACAACATATATAGATTTGTCTTTCAAAGTATAAGAAAAGTAAACATGCATTTATTTATTGTATATATATTATAATAGGAAAACAAAGTCAACGATATACTTTGGAGACCGTGTCATTGTCCAAAACGTCAAGAATTATGGAACCGGAGGGAGTACGTGCTCAACATATCATTATCCAGCAAAGTGATGAATAAAGAAGATTATGTCCATAAAAGCAAGAAAAAACACTTATGAACTTACAGTTAGGTCTCCCTTTCATTAGTGAGCTCCACTCGACACTTTGATTCCTCTTTACGAATCATTTTTTTACTGAAACAAGCACAATAGAAACTCCATACTACTTAATTGGGTAAAGACAAGGGTCTAACTTCTAAGAGTGATCTTTTTATGACATGGATCATACATTGGATCCATACCAAGTTAGTGAGGCTGTAAGGAGTAGTTAACTCTAGCTAGGTAGCAAAATTCCCCCATAAGATGCATAAAAATGGAATTCTTTAAATAATTGGCACCTTAATAGAAAATCAAGGTTCATCTGCGAAAAATAGAAAGTTGGAAACACTGGCACCTTAATTTCACTGAATCACTGGTTAGAAACGCAAATTCTGATAGCACCTGCTTGAATTGCACAAAAACTACAGGCGATGAATAATTTGGTGGTGAACACTTCACACATTCACCAAAATTTCCTATTCTTGTTCTTGCATATACTCAAAACAGACCAACCTCCCAACTCAAACTAAAATCCGACTGTTAAATAAATCCACCAGATCTAGCTGTATCACAAATACAAGAAAATATTACTAACCTTGCCAGTATCATTCCTTTTAGCACGAACAATTTGGTACATCTCATCATACACCTCTGTGATCCGCCGTCTCGTTGCACGGCACAACAGCAGGAGGGGGAAAGGTGATGTTTTTGCCTCCTTTTTCTCGTGAACAGACACCACCTCACCCAAGCCCTTCTGCTTCCCCCTCCTCCCCCGCCTCCTCTTTCCTCCACTCTCGCTACCAAGCGGCGTCGAACATTGGGATGATTCAGGAGGTGAGGAGTGCTGGTAGGGGGAATGGAGAAACGTGTTGGCGAGGATAGTAAGGAAGAAACGAACAAGGGAAGTCCTCATGGCTATGGGTTCCGGCAGAAGATCGGAGGCGAACCCTCAATGGTAGGGCCGTAGGAGCCGGTCACACAAGCTATATCTAGATCTATTTCGATTATTTTGTTTTTGTTTATTTGTTCCTAGGAGGGCGTGGCCACGTGGGTGCGGAGGTGGGTGGGCGGTGGGCGGTGGGCGGTGGGGGGGAGGGGTTAAGATGACTCCGTTTGCTTGGCACTTGTTTGAGTCAATGGTAGAGGATTTGGTGCTTTCTAAAAAAGAAAATGGCTTTTGCTTGCTTTCCTTCATTAAAAGCTTCAGTTCTGATTAGATATGCCGTGCACAGTTACCATGAATGTGTGTCGATTGGGTCAATGACCCGGGGTTGTGGAGCATGGAACAGCACTTCTACTACTAAAATACATAGGTGGTGTGTCACACATCTCATGAATCATACACGTAGTAAATGAATTCAGTATGAATTACAGAAGGGCGTGTGGTGAATATGGTGAATAGTTCGTTGTTCAATCTTCAACTTTGAGATTTATTTCCTTTCTAAAAATTTTCAAGGCAAGTGAACACTTTAACAGCCAATGACACCAATAAAGTTAGAAAGTTGCACCAAGAATTGACGAGCAAAACAAACAAAACATTCGCTCAGCCTTTGTGCTAATCTATTCCAGTTTATGTGCCACCCAAGAAAGCAAAAGAGGACGCAGACCTACCAGATGAAACCACGCCGTGCAATTTATACTTCACAGGAAATGGCCCTCTGCCTACGTAAAAACTACGAAATAAAATGAGGTTTTGCCAAACCACTGTCATGTGGCCTGAGTACTGCATAGTGCCAAAGTCATATATGCATTTATCTAGTTTTACCAACACAGCAAAATAGAAGTCTACCACTGCTCTAGTTTGGGTTCTTTTTCAGCAGGTAACAGTGACACTGTAACCCTGAAGATATATTGCTGTCAGTGTGAATAACACTAGTGTAGTTTTTTTATTTCTGTCCTAAACAAACTTGCCGCATGTAGAGTCAGCAAAACCATTGATTTAATACTTGCCGCACTAGTGAAAATGTACCAACCAACATCATTAAATCCATAATATCAAAACCTAAGTCTGATTCTATCTTGAAAGTCTGAAATGAAAGCAATTAGCAAAACAAACAAACAAACAATGAACGGCACCCAGTTGTATATATATATAAGTCAAGCATGCTACTGGAGTCACATCTTTATACATCCCTAATTCGAGTAATCGCAATGCACAAAATCCTTGCATCTGAAGCGACATTTGTGATATGGAATCAGAGACGCGGCGCACTGCTGACCTGATGGATGGTGAGGGAGTGGGCCTGGCTGGCCCGCGCGAGGTCGTCGTACCGCGCGGTGATCCGCCGCTGCAGCGCGCCGGCCACCGAGGCGAGCGGGAACCGCGGCCGCCGCCGCAGCAGCTGCAGCTGCAGCGCCTCGTCCCCCTCGCCGCCCGCCGCGTCGTCGTCCCCGGCGCCCTTCCGCTGCCGCCTCCTCGCCTTCCGCCGCTTCCTCCTCTCCCTCCCGCCCTCCTCCCCCTCCGCCACCCCCGCGCCGGCCTCCGCCTGCTCGGGCAGCTGATGAGCCTCGCCCTCGCGACAGCGGCAGCGACCGCGCAGCAGGGCGAGGAAGAGCGCCGCGAGGGCTACGACGAGGAGGACGATGAGTGCTAGTTGGTGCGGCGGTGAGTCCATCGCCGGCGAGAGCTCGTCGTCATCCCCAGGCGGGAGCTGATATATCTTTTTTTTTTCTTTTTCCTTTTAAAATTTTATTTTCTCTCGCTGGAGTGCGGTTGGGAAATCGAAGTGGGAAGCGTGGGAGGAGAGGAAGGAAGGAAGGAAGTTGCGGCGTTTTAAAAGCTCCGCGCGGCACGGCGATGCTCTTTCGCTTGCTTCGGTGTTTCGAGCTACTCTAGAGTCTAGACTTTCTAGTGGTGGAGCTGCAATGGAAGGTATTCTACGGATAAGGATGAAACATCAAAGGATCTGTTTCGTTTCTGTTAGCTACTAGGTCTGAGATGTCTTTTAGTTCACGCTAAAATTTAGAAGTTTGATTGAAATGATGAAAAAGTTGGTAGTTTAAAGAAAACTTTTCACATCAAAACTCTATACACACAAATTTCCAACTTTTCCGTCACATCGTCACAATTTCAATCAAACTTCCAATTTTAGTATGAACTAAATACATCCTAGTCTCTTGAATCAATATATCTTAAACAGTCTAATTTTTTATCCAGATTTTTAAATCTTAATAAAAGTTATAGTTGTACAGACTATAGAATGAATTGGAAGTTAAAAACTAAAAATTCTAGTTTTCTAGATTTTTATAAAGCTGACAACCAACCAGCCGCTTCTCGTGATTTTAGCTCTCCAAATAGACCCAAAGTATCGATCTCGGCGGCTATCGAGGTGGAGAATGAAGAGACCGATATAGGGCTTTACTTTGGGTGTGTTTAGTTCACGCTAAAATTGAAAATTTGGTTAAAATTGAAATGATGTGACGGAAAAGTTAAAAGTTTATGTGTAGAAAAGTTTTGATATGATGTAAAACTTGAAAGTTTGAAGAAAAAGTTTAGAACTAAACTCGGTCTTCGTTGGTTGCAGCCTGTAGATGAGTTTGATTGAACGTGACGTGTGATGTGTTTTGTTTAGTGAACGTTCATCCACTTTGGTTGGGTTCATTTCAGCGTTTGACACATCCTATCTTTATAAGCATGTCTTGAGGTTGAATTGGTCAATATACGCGTTTCACTGTCAACAGATATGTCATCAGTATTAAATAATTAGACGTAAATACGAGTACACGTGCTAATTCTAGAACTTAAAACCTAGATATACTCATGAACAGGTTAAAAAAACTAACCATTTGAATTATGTTCACTTTCGCTAGGTGAGAGTATATTACGTGGATTGATGGTACTTAGTATTTTTTTCTATACTTTCCTTTGTTATAAAAGCTAGCATGTGGGTGTATGCTTGGTTACATGCGTCCAAGTTATACAGAGGCTAAGAGTATTCCAGGTATGAATCTTTTTTTCCTAATTAACTGAGCACAACAATGCTTCTATTATCTAAAAACATCAATAGTACATTGTCTATGAGCACCAAATTTATACCCTAGCAGATGGGATCATCGTGTACCCACGACCGGGGGTAGATTGAGACTCAGTCTCAGGGGTGGACCGCTATGAGGCCTCGATGTAAAAGCACATGCTACCTTATTTAGGGGGTGTTTAGGAGAGAGTGGGGCTACCTTAGGGTGTGTTCGGATGCCCTTTTTCTCAACCCCTCTCACTCGTTTTCCGCGCGCACGCTTTTCAAACTGCTAAACAATGCATTTTTTGTAAAATATTTCTATATGAAAGTTGCTTAAAAATCAAATTAATCCATTTTTTGAAAAAAAAAAGTTAGCTAATACTTAATTAATCACGTGCTAATGGATTGCTCCGTTTTTCGTGCGGAGGGTTCTGGTTGGGAACTAGCGAACACACTCTTAGAGCAAGTTTAATATTATAGCTAACTACTAGCTCCAATTCATCTATAGCCAATCTAATAACTCATTCATACAATAGTTACATACTACACAATTAACACCTGGTCTCACCTGTTATACACACACTGTGTCTTGGAGTCCGTGCTACATATGGCTACAAATCTATAGCCCGCTGCTTTTCTCTCTCCTTATTTATCTTCTTAAAATATATTTACAGCCGACTTATAGCCTGTTATTATACCTGCTCTTACTTTCACTATGTATTTGGCTGCCGAAAGGCCTAGCATAAACTCTTGATCACTTCATACCCACCCACGTCTGAGTCCACCACCATATTAGCTAAGTTCTCTCCAATCTTTAATTTACTGTCATGATAAGTTTATTATACAACCAGAAAAATACCCGTGCGTTGCAACGGGTGAAGACTATTTTAATCTTATTATTATTATACGGTTTAGCTAAGGTGAAATTTATCGTGGAAATTCGCTTGGATATTCTTTTTACAAAATCATAAGCCGCAATTAGGGGTCCGATCGTCTCAAGTTAGCATGTAAATTTTTTAAAGAGATTTCTTATACGACTCCTTCTGTATTTTTAAAAACGAACAAAATTAAAAACCGACTCAAAGATGGATTTGTATTTCTAAAAACGATTGAACTTAAAAACCTATTAAACACGGATGATGTATCAAAAGTACCGATAAAAATATCTTCAATTTTTTATAATAGCAGAGATGAGGATGTTTTATTATTTGTAAGAGTAACCGGTGCAACGTATGATGGCGAAAAGATTTGAACCCATTGGTTATCGTGAGAAATGCTTATAAGATCTCAGTCAAAGTTTGTTCAAGTGTTTTCATGTGTGTTTGTTGTCAAAACGGTTTTTTTTCCAATAAGATATTTTTTATTGACATTGTGACTTCGTGGTTTTAGTTATAGAACATCGTGAAAGATGTTATCAAAAGTTAAATATTTGCTACTGGATACAGTTATTACTATTTTGTTCATTTTGTTTGGTGAAGAGAGGGAATACAAGGAAATATATCTGAAACACCCTTGAGGTACTTGCATGTGAAAATTTCAACTTGGACACAATTCGGAGGAGTGGAGGCAACGTACGGACGGTGATGTAAAAGAAGGTTGTTTGCTAATCAGGACTTGTTTAGTTGGGGAAAATTTTTAGGTTTGGTTGTCACATCGGATATACGGATATATATTTGAAGTATTAAACGTAGTCTAATAACAAAATAAATTACAGATTCCACCAGGAAACTGCGAGACGAATTTATTAAGCCTAATTAATCTGTCATTAGCAAATGTTTAATGTAGCACCACATTGTCAAATCATGGCGCAATAAGGCTTAAAAGATTTGCCTCGCAATTTACACACAATCTGTGTAATTGTTTTTTTTATCTATATTTAATATTTTATGCATGTATCTAAACATTCAATATGACAGCGTGAGAATTTTTGTTTTGTGAAATAAACAGAGCCTATTTATATTCACCAGCTTCGCACGGTCCACGGTATGCAAGGTTTTTCTCCCCACCCATAACAACAGTAGATCACTCTTAGCATGCTTCAACGATGACGAGAAGGGAAAGCAAAATAGAATATTTGTGCATGAAATGTTATGTTTCGTCTGCCATTCACGAGACATAGGTACAAACTGAGAGACCATAGCCGGAAAGTATTTTTGTGGTCTCAACTCTCAAGGCAGCAAGGTGAAGAAAGGAACATCAACATCATCTCCTGTAAGAAGGTGCATGATGCATTTGCGCCCATAGATGTCATCAACGTCGGTGGCCATCACGGTTACGTCTAGTAAGTCGAAACACATGATTGGTAAAAACGAACTAGGATAAAAATGTACGGGAAAAGTACAAATTAACCAACCCCCCCCCCTCACCCCACACACACCGGGAACTATCACGGTCGACCGAATTACCCCTCTAAACCCGAAAATCAGACATCGTTTACCCTATGCTTTCAATACCGGATAAATTACCCCATCGACCCAATCCATAATATGTGGCAGTCCAGTCAATATTCTATTTATAAAAATGTGTGGGACCCACCTGTCATACTCCTCTTTCACTCTTCCTCTCTCTTCTCTCTCACTCTCTGTCTCACTCTTCCTCTCTCTCTCTTCTCTCTCTCACGGGTCGGTGGCAGGCGGGGGACACAGAGCGGCGGTGGCGGCAGGGACGGGGAACGAGGAGGCAGCGTCGGCGGATGCGGCCACGACGAGCAGTCACCCCCTCGGCGCGGCTTCCCTCCTCCTCCCCCCCTCTCTCTCTATGTGTGGCACCGTCGGGAGAGCGGGCATAATGGGGGCAGTGACATAGCTCGCGGCGCACCCCGTCGGTGGCCGAGGATGAGCTCCTCCTCCCCTGTCCCCTCGTCGCCGCCCCCACTCCACTGCCACCGCTTGCAGCGTTGTTCCCCTCTTCTGCTTAATAGGGCGGGTGAGGGATGCCAGGAGGGACACAACATCGGGCTCCGGCAGTGAGTCCGCGGTCCGCCGCCCATCCCCGAGCTGCCTCAGCCTCGCCGTCCTCGACGCCCCGAGCGGCCTCCACCATCGCCCGTCGCCATCCTACCACCCCAAGCTACATCTGTCCTCGCCGCCGTCCTACCTCCCTCGCTCGCCGTCGTTCCACTGCTGTCCGCCGCTGTCCTCGATGCCCTGAGCGGCCTCCGCCACCGCCCGCCGCCCCCAAGCTCCATCCGCCCCTACCGCTGTCCTGCCGCCCTCGTCCTCCAACACCCTCCTCGACGCCGCCCGCCGCTGCCGCGTCCTCCCCGCACTCCACCACCGCCCGCACGCCGACTGCCCGTCTGACGCGCGCCACCGGCGCCCACACGCCGACCGCTGTGCGAGCTTTATGCCTGAGAGAGAGAGGGGGGAGGAGGTATGACAGGTGGTATGATCGCCTCTCCGCCATGGCCGCCCCGTGCGTGCCGCTACTCGCCTTCGCTTCCGCCTTCGTTGCTGGTTGCACGAGTGCGCCATCGGCGTCCGAGCAACCTCCGCCTCCGCGCGCCACCGCCAGCGCCCGAGCATCGCCCTCCACTCCTCCGTCGCCATTCTCAATGCTGCCATGCTGGTGAGCTGGTGAGGGGAGGGAGAAGAGAGAGAGGGGGGGGATTGGGGATAGAGAGATAGAGGGGTGGCGAACTGACAGGTGGGCCCACTGATTTTATATTAAAAGAATTGCTGACTGTACTCCCACGTTTACTAAAACCACCGCGAATTGGGTCGAGGGGGGTAATTCGTCCGGTTTGCATAGTTGGGATTAAAAAATGTCCGGTTTTATGGTTCGGGGGGTAATTCGGTCGATCATGATAGTTGGGGGGGTAATTCGTAGTTTTTCAATTCTACTGTTATCAGTCCAAAGTCAAAAGGCTGAAAAATAATTAAAGAAGGAAGATGAAGAAACCCATAAACCATTTATCTAGGTCTAAATTTAATTAAAATCGACCGCGGCTCAATCAAAAGTTCGTTTTCCCCATCTTGAGCCGTTTTAAGAAGCGAAGAAAACAATATTTTGAAAAAAAAAACACCAAGACACAGGGAGTATTACGTTTTTCTGGTGGGTTTTGTGCTTTTTCAGAGTACGTTTTCGACGTCATAGGCTCCATCAGTTCTCCCCACACTTTTCCCCTCCGCTTGAACTCGCCGCCACTGAAATGCCCTCCAAATCCAAATCCTCCAAATTCGATTCGCGTCCTCCGTTTGCTTCGCTTCTTCTTCTAGAACCCACCAAACTCTCCGGCCACGTGCGCCCCGCCCTAAACCCTAGCCGCACCCCCCGCCTCCCTCTCGTCGCCGGCGACCGCCGCCGCCGCCATGAGCCGCTTCGACGGCCGCGCCGCGGACCCCGGCTCGTACCGCGACCGCCGCAGGTAACCGCTCCACCACCGTGGTTTTGATTTCTAAACCCTAAGCCCTAAGTGTTGGGGGTTCTGATTGCTCGTTGGGTTGGGTTGGGGTTTGGTTGCAGCGAAGGGGCGTTCGGGGGCGGGACGAGGGCGTTCGCCCCGACGAGCAAGGCGGACTCCGCGGCCGCGGCCGCTGACCTGGATGGGCTGCCGCGGTTCGAGAAGAACTTCTACGTGGAGTCCCCCTCCGTGGCCGGCATGACGGAGGAGGAGGTGGAGGCCTACCGGCGCCGCCGGGAGATCACCGTGGAGGGCCGCGACGTGCCCAAGCCAGTGCGCGAGTTCCGCGATGTCGGATTCCCAGGTTTCGTTTGCTGCGTGCTACTGCTACCCTTGTCCTGCACTTACTATAGTACTATGTATGCAATTTAGATGAACGTGCTCCAGGAGGAATTGGAATTTAGATGGACGTGCTTCAGGAGGGGAATGTATAGGTCTATTTGTTTCGTTAGCTGGTTGTGTTGTAAACTACATTGAATCATCAAAGAATTGAAGTATCATAACAGTTATTTCACACCACAATTTCTGCTTTGGCGGAATTTGTTTTGGCTGTAAATACTCAAAACTATTTCAACCTTGAGCCACATTGTCACATTAGTGACATGTAACTGCAGAACCACTCTAGAATGAGGCCAAAGGTTAAACAGTAGGTGGTTCTAATAGTCAATGGTCAAAAGGTGAACTATTCGAAGTTGAGGGTTGGAAACTGGAGTTAGGCCATGATTAACAGTTGTAAAATGATTTTTCCAAAGAAAAACAGCCAACAGCGATAACATGTGCAACCAGCTCAAGTGCTGAACACTAAATGGTGAAAGTATCATTTGGTTTTCTTTGAACTCCGATTAGGATTTGTTGGTCCTCTCATTAAATCCCATTATCATCACTTCATCAGCCAATTCATTCATCAGGAGGAAAGGATATGAATATGTCACTTGTTATTCATTTAAGATCTGTTGTGCTCTTCAAAGATTATTCTGCTTGCATTCTTGGACTTGAGCCATTGATAATTTATGAGCCCCTTTACCTTCTGAACTACATTCTTTATTATTTTGCTCTTTTTTAATCTTGGACATCTTACATTCTATATTTCCTGATCCAAGATACTTAACTTCCATTGTGCAGAATATGTTTTGCAAGAAATTACAAAAGCTGGGTTTGTAGAACCTACTCCTATCCAGTCTCAAGGTTGGCCAATGGCACTGAGGGGACGTGATCTTATTGGCATTGCTGAAACAGGATCAGGGAAAACACTTGCTTACCTTTTACCTGCCATTGTTCATGTTAATGCTCAGCCGATTCTAGGTGCGAAATGTTGCTTATGTTTCTTAACCGATTTTCTTGGATACATTCTGGACTTCTTTTGTGGTAATCTACTAACATTTTTCCGTGTGTTATTAAAGCACCTGGCGATGGTCCAATTGTTCTGGTGTTAGCCCCTACACGTGAACTTGCTGTGCAGATACAGCAAGAGGCAACTAAGTTTGGTGCGTCATCAAAAATAAAAAGTACTTGCATATATGGTGGTGTTCCAAAAGGTCCTCAAGTTCGCGATCTTCAAAAAGGTTCTCTTTCTTTCTTATGCTAGGAAGTTCAACAACCAGAAGGAATCTTTTGTACTGCACGCATGAAGTCATGAACAATGTTTGAAGGACATTCAGTTGGTCAATAATGAAATGACACTGTTCAAAAGGACATCCTATTGATCTATAGCTTAAATGATACATTCATCCTGTGTAGTATATTTAGTTTAATTTGTCACTGTTTGCATCCAGGCGTTGAAATTGTTATAGCCACGCCAGGAAGACTGATTGATATGATAGAATCACATCATACAAATTTGCGGAGGGTCACTTACCTTGTTTTAGATGAGGCAGACCGGATGCTGGATATGGGCTTTGAACCTCAGATTAAGAAAATTGTTTCTCAGGTATGCCTCTTCTTCTGAATCTATTATTCCATTCTCAACAATTTTCTAATAATTATGCTTGCTACATGTTACATGCTTTTACTTATACACTGTCAACAGAATGAAAGGGTAGCATGTATCCATTAGTAATCAATCAGATGAAGATCAACCTATAATCTCTCCCCAAGTTTGTTGCATCAACCTAGTCCTCTCATCCCTAGCAGCCAACACTGCCCAGCCATAGGCAGAGTTTTCCTCCATGAACCGTGCCTACAACATACCAACATTGTTTTACATAGTGTTAAGGGATTACCATCTGCCTTTTCAGATTCGTCCAGATCGCCAAACATTATATTGGAGTGCTACTTGGCCAAAGGAAGTTGAACAGCTAGCAAGGAACTTTCTTTTCGACCCATACAAGGTGGTTATTTTTGCCAATGCATCATTTTGCAGATGAATTTATGGCAGACTACGGTATCTGCTTCATGTGAACTCAATTGCTTTTTTTGTGCTGCAGGTCATAATTGGTTCTGAGGAGTTGAAAGCTAATCATGCCATTTCTCAACATGTGGAGATATTATCCGAGAGTCAGAAGTACAATAAGTAGGATCCGCGTGACCTTTTCTCTTCATTACACACTGAAATGATTCATTCAGAATGCATTGATGATGAAATTCTTTGATGTTAAGGTTGGTTAATCTACTGGAGGATATAATGGATGGCAGCCGGATATTAATATTTATGGACACGAAGAAGGGATGTGATCAAATCACTAGACAGCTTCGGATGGATGGTTGGCCTGCTCTGTCTATCCATGGTGACAAAAGCCAAGCTGAGAGGGATTGGGTTCTTTCTGAATTTAAATCAGGGAAAAGCCCTATCATGACAGCGACTGATGTGGCTGCTCGAGGCTTAGGTATACAAAAATCCTCCCAGATCGATGAATTATATTTATTTCTGTAAACTAATGCCACTTATATCTGGAAACAGATGTTAAGGATGTTAAATATGTCATTAACTATGACTTTCCGGGATCATTGGAGGATTATGTTCATCGCATTGGTCGAACTGGCAGAGCTGGAGCAAAAGGAACAGCTTACACGTTTTTCACTGCTGCTAATGCCAGATTTGCCAAGGATCTGATCAACATACTAGAAGAAGCTGGACAAAAGGTCAGCCCTGAATTAGCTAATATGGGTCGTGGTGCACCACCCCCTTCTTCAGGCAAGCTCTCTGTTTATCTAACTATTTTCAAATTATTGTAGAAGCAAGTTTACAGATTCTGATTTCTGCCTACTTTCTTTTCACCTATAGTGCTGCCTAAGAATTTGAAAATTCTGAATGTGACTGACTATTGTCACATCTTTGCAGGCCACCGTGATAGATATAGAGGGTATGGAGGTGGCCGGTCATGGAGCTGATTTTCATATGTTGTTATTGCAGAGAGCAATGTTTGGCCTTTCTTTGTGGATGGCTATGTGTATTTCTGGCTCACTGAATCTTTTAACTAATGATCGGTAAAGGTAGATTTATATAACTTAAACACCATGCCCCTTTTATGAGATATGACTGGGTCCTTCTCATCCACTGTGTCAATAGCTCAAACTGTGGCATTGGCATATAATATTTTGCTTACAGTTATTAGAACGGTTTCTCTATCATATTTTTTTCAGTGTGCCGACTCATACTTTGGATCCATTAATGTTAATATGAAGCCCTTTTGATTTCCATTTAGAAAGATAGTTAATTAGACCATCATTTAATCATATTTGTGGTACCGATTTTGACCAGACATTGATGAATCCTTGGTTTCATGCAATTTGGTTTGATTGCCTGAACACTGATGGCATAATTTCACTACTATTTTGTTTAGCATTGTACAATATATGCCTACTCTGCATATCTTCTCCTTTTCCCAATTTACACTTCCTTTTGGTTCTCTGCTGTGTGGTGATCAACTGAAATGGCTTTCTTGGACAGTATGATTTTTCTTGCCTTCTGAGTTCTGAAAGCCAAACCAACAGCTCATGATCGCCATGTGACAATAACTGTAGGCTGTCTGGTGTGGCCATGCGGTGCGGCTGGTATGAAGACAGTTTAATTTTTGCTCTCTCCCGAACATAGGATGCTCTTCATATGTATCTATACTATTCCTGCAGTTATTTACAGTATTTGAGAAACATCTCTGTGCGCTGGGACTGGGGGTTTAGGAACTTTGTCCCATAGTCAGTTGTGCTGTGCATCATAAGTCAATGTCCTGGAGTGAAATTGCAGTCTGAAATTTCTGGCCCTGTAGGGCGTGTGGTTCCCTCTGTAGTGGCTGCTATTGATATATCCACATCTTTGCTAGTACGGCCTTCAGCTTCTTACCAGCTTTTTACTGTACCAATCCAAGATAATATGGTAAACAAGGATCTGCCAGAACAATGGATTTGTGGTCCTTGCTGCTGTTGCAAATCTAATACATCTGTCATTTGGAGTTATTTGGCATGATATGATGATAACCAGAAACCTGAATTTTGTTTCTATGAAGAGAGACCCTTTTGCTGCAGTGTGGTCCATGAATACTTTGTTAACATCCACAATTTGTATGAATCTTATCACCATAGGTACATCAATCCGTAACTCTTAGTGCCAATTGGCTATCTGTTTTGAATGTAGGTCCACAGTTTGCATTCTGTTTGCGCCTTAACTACTTTTTGCAAAATCTGCTAGTTTTCATTCTATGTTTCATGACATCACTACTATTCAGGCTTTTCTGGTGGGTAGTTTTTTGGGGCTTAAAATCATGGCTATGAACAAATCATTGAATTTTTGTGTCTAGCTAGTGGACTGATTTGGACTTTAAGCATCTTATCTGCTTTGATGTTATTGAGTCCATCTGTTGGTTCATGTACATGCCTTAGTTCACATGACCTGATGTATTATTTGTGTGTATTAACCAGTAACTATGCTAAAATTTTGCAGCTTGATATTTCGATGTTCTTTTGGTTCTGTGGTGGTCACGTTGAGCCGTATTATTATTATTATTATTTTTTTGTTGCGATTGTACTATTCTGTTGCAGGACCGTCTTGAAGCAGAGCTACAATAAATCTGGGGATGCATTTGGTTCGCTAGGAGGGCTTCTCTGGTGGTCCAAGAGCTGTAGCTGCAAACCGTACAGCTTGGCAATATGGTAAGAATTCAATAATGCTAATAAGAGAGGGGTGTTTAAAGCTTGTGTAGTTGAGCTTGCTGCTGCATATATTAGCATGTTTTCTGTAATCATCTGTTGATATGTATGGCCGCGGTTTTGGAAATGTAGTGGTTTCCAAAAAAGAGGGAGATCCTATGCAACTTTAGTTTAGAAAAGCACGGTGGCAAGCATGCACACATGCGGGTGGGCCAGAGGAAAGAAAGAAATAAACGGAGGAGGCTTGTCCATGGTAATTGGACCATTATGCCACAGGAGAGTTAATGAAAGTAAGGAGCCCATGGTAATTGGACCATTAGGCCACATGAGAGTTAATTGAAAAGGCAGGGCAGGGCAAGCGTGTGTGCGTGCCTGCCTCCCTTGCTCCCCAAAAGCTGGGCTCATTAGCCTCTCTACTGGGCATACCTTGGAAGGAACTGCAGAAGGGAGGTCCAGTCCAGATATTATGTTAGATCGTTGTGCTGCCGCTATTTGATCTTGGGTCACCCATATTTTCGTGCCGTAGGACATCGAGCTATCATGCTTACCATCATCCTCGTGAGAGAAGATGAGGGTTCCAATAGCATCTGACACGAGGAAGACAAAGGCGGTGATACATGTTCAGTGGTATAAATGTTCCAAAGCCGGGAAAATCTAGCTCAAGAAAGGGAAACAAACAAGTAGGGCAGCTGATCTGATCTTGACTCTTGAGACGAATCATTAGCCACGACGTTTTATGTTTGGCAACCTGAGTTTGGTTCCCCTAGGTTGCTCTTCATTTGTTGTGTGGTGCCTTAACCATCAGCCTTATGATGAAGGCATATCTCCCAAAAGGATCCAGTGGCTTTTACCCCCCCTGCAAGTCTGCAGCTGAACCTTGCAGAAAAGATCACACAAAAAGCTGGGCTACATCAAGGGAAACTCAATTCACCAGTCCATTCTCTCTTTCTCCTGTCCTGTATTCGTATGTATACTACAGTGCAGTATGTTCCATGCTGGATTTCTCTCTCTAGGCCCTATATGCTTATCTCTTCTTCTCTTCCTTCCCCCACTCCAAAGCAAAGCAGATGCATGCAGCCGCAGCTGCACCACACTGCCCCAGGCCCCCAGCTTCTCAGTGGTCAAAGTCCTATCAGCTTGCTGCTTGCATAGGGTCCCTTTTCCTGTGCCCATTGATTCATTTCACTTGCTCCTTGTGGACCAATGCCTCCATGTACACATATTAACCCTACTATAGTATGAGTGGTCACCACTAATATAGTATGAGCACCAGCATCAAATCAAAGGCCAATGAGCAGTAGTTCTACAATAGTAGTACTGTTAATTAATCGATCAGTAGCTTATACATCAATACATGTTGGCTAAATTAACAAAGCTGCCTCCTAGCTAATGCTGGCCTACCCTTCCTGTATAATTACACCATACGTAAGCACCTCTATCAATGGCTAGAGCAACTGGCCATCTTGCAGGGACCATTGCTCAGAGCTTGCCCCTCCTGATCATATCCCTTGCTAGAGTAGTACTAGTACACGTGTGATATATATATATATATATATATATATATATATATATATATATATATATATATATATATATAGGTAGGTAGCAGTATAGATCGACATATAGATGATATATATGTGCATCTTGGTGTGTGCAACTTGGCTTGTTGCATGCATGTGTCGACTCGTGTGGGCTACTCGTACTCGACCGACCGATCTGCATCGATCCATGCATGCATCTGATGGATCTCCTCTACTAGTTGAGTATGGTGATCGGTATAGTAGTAGTGGTGGCTAGTGGCTAGTCGTCGTCCTCCTTGGCGGTGACCCTGATGGGCATGCCCCGCTTGAGCCGCACGGTGGGGAAGTTGACGATGTGGTCCTCCTCCGCCACCCACCTGCATCCATGGCAGCAATTAGCAGTCCATTTCAATGTCCTTGTCAGGCAACAACCATGCATGCAATGGATGGATCAGCAGGTCGATTATTCAGAAAGAGATTGTAGATAAGAGATCTCATAATCATAATCATTTATCAATAACACATGATCGATGGTGATGCCACTGCCACTCCCTACTTAAGGTATTTAACCGGATGGGATCGATATCCGATCAAAATACCTTATATTTTGAGACGAATGAAGTGTATTCTAATATAAGCATTTTCTATGTTATAGCTAGAGTCCTAACCATCTTGTCCAGATACATACCAGAAATACTTGCATTTTTAGAATGTAGTATCATCTATCTTAAGTTTGAGCAAACCATGCAGGGAGCACCTATATGCCTGCAACTCTGAACAAGAGCTTTACTACTATCAATGTTGATAGTTGATTTACTGGCTTCATGTGGACAGTGGCCAGTTGCTCGCATAACACAGTAATATGTTATATGTAGGCCAGCTAGCTGCTTGTGCAACCAATGCAAATGCGTGCAGATGCAGTGCACGCATGCATGAATCTGTGCTATGCATGTGCCAGGTTCTAAAGTCCATAGTACTAAATTACTGGTCAATTTATTACGGAAACTGGCATGATGATGTAGCCGGATTGTCTTTGTAAGACATGTGGACCCAATGATTATCGGACCCACAATGTCAGTGACAAAGTCACGTGACTTTGACTGCAGAGGATCCTGATCCAATGTAGCTTAGCTACATAAAGCACGAGTAATATTATGTGATTTGCTTTTTTACAAGATGTTGCAAAACGCTTCTCTTAGGATCAATTAGATAGAGGTCAGCACAAGCATAATGGGGAATTGGAAGATGGTCAAAGAAGACAGAAAAACACATTGGACTGATGGACTCTCCAATCTCCATTGTTTAAAGTGATATGATGTTTTTCTAGCAAGTCGGATTCTCTTGTTGGAGTTTGATTTGTTTATGGGAGGAGTATAGTATTGTTTGCAGGCAGGCATGCAGCGACCATACCCTGGCACGTGCTCCTACATTGATGCAGCGTGTCTGACGACCGGTCAAAGTGGCACATCTCGGCCGGCTAGATCAGCTGGATGCGTGCGTGCGTGCGTGCGTGCTACAGTATTATATTCGCGTTCCTGGGATTCAGTTCAGTCACGGACCGGACAAGGCACAAAGTATGCATGCACGCACGCATGTCACCCATCTCGTCTCATCTCATCCAACTGTTCGAGTCGATAGAGAGCCCATTCCGGCTGCCTAACCATCACACCCATGTCTCCGGTCTCCCCCTTCTTACCCCCTTCGCCAATTACTACACCACGCTTCTTCCCGCCTCCTTTCCCAACTCAACCCGATCCGGCACATTTTCTAAACTACTAAACAATACGATTTTTTATATAAAAATTATTTTTAAATTTATATTAACCTATTCTTTAAGTTTTTAACTAATACTTAATTAATCATATATTAATAAATCACCATATTTCCCCGCAAAAAAATAAAATAAATCACCATATTTTCTACCTCCCGAACGTAGGACGTAGCCCTATACAGACTCCATAGCTGATGGACGACTGGTAATCAAAATATGATACTCGCTCCGACCCAAAATATAAGTATTTTTAGCTATAAATATGAATAAATATATAAATTTATAGTAAAAAATGCTTATATTTTTTTATATGGATGTAGTATATTTTCGTGTCAATATAGGCACTATCCTGAGCTAAGCACACGCATCGTAACATTGCTTAATCGAAGCGTGCATTATAGCTAAGCTTATTTTTTTTTTTTTAGATTAGTCTGTTTGCATTGGTAAGCTACATGGTTGTGAGACCATGAAAAAAACAAATTAAAGTTGAATTTTTTTTTTGACGAAAGACGTACTGACATGTGAGACCCACCACCGCCCAGCGACCACGTCTCAAGGGGAGGTGCAGCGGCGGTGGGCATGCAGGGCGTGGCGTGGTAGCTGACACGTGCGGGCGCTGTAGCTGTAGCAGCGGGCGCCGTAAGCCACGCACGCGTACAGCGGCGTAGTCCGCATGCATGCACACATGTGGGTGTGGGGGGGAAGGGATGGATATGCGCCGCATGTGCGCGCACGTGTGGCCCCACGCGCGGAACAACACCCCGCTCTATTCGCAATAGAGGCTGGACCGACCTCCCACCTTGGGTATCTTCCTTGATCTTCTTCTTTTTCGCCCCGCGCGCCGAAATTATTTGTCTTCCTCGTAGCTTCCATTTTTTTCTTTCACATGAAAAATGACCTAGTGTTCCTACGCAGTGTAATCCTCCTCGCGAGAAGAAATAATTTACTGTATTTAAGAAAATTATAGAAATAGAATTTGGTACTATCTCTGTCTCTTAAAAAAAACAATTTCTAAGCTTGAATCTAGAAATAATCTATATCTTAGATTTAAAACCAGAAGTTGATTTTGTAGGCCGAAAGTTGTATCTCCCAGTGTGAGAGGCGAAAATACCATACTATATCTTTCGATCAGAGGTGGAGACGGCTCCAGGTCGAACGACCGTCTAGGCTTCGCTGTCGGCGTCTCCACTACCAATCACCGTTGACGCGTGTAAAAATGGATTGATCACTACAAAACACTATTAGTTATCCGGGCTCGACGATGTCGCTGGCTTCACCACCGCTTTAGATACCTCCTTAAGCACAGTAAGATCACTCCCTCAAGGAAGATGATAACAGAGGAGGTATAAGCATGGGAGAAAGCCTCGTGATGCTATCCCTAGTGACGTATTAGGACCAGTTATTATCTGACATAATTTTTTTCTTTTTTTTTTATCTCTGGAAAGATTCGGCTTGATCTTCAAATCCTCATGTACGTACCCGATCTATATACCCCCCCACAATTATTCTGTCAATCAACGCATAATTCATCTACTGTTCCGCTCTTCTATTGTTCTACAGAGATTAGTTATTACTAGGAACATGAATGTGCATGCGAAGAGGGCATGGCCAAATGATAGGGACATGACTACATGAGATGCATGCCATTGGTGCCCGGTTGCGTGCATTATATGATGCAAAGGCCGTGATTTTTATTCCATTCATTATATGATGTAGAGGTCGTGATTTTTATTCTTTTATCTAGAAAAAAATGCTATCGGTGCCGAGCGATCATGGAAAATTATGCAAAAGTTGTAGTTTGTATTCCATTATCTAGAAAGAAAAAAAAGCTATTGTTGCCAAGTGATCATGAAACAAAGCTAAGGAGTTGGAATCAATGGCTGCACTAAGAATGGCCAAGATTGAGATGTGGTGATCCATACCTGAAGCTGGTGACCAAGTGGTGAAGGAAGATGGAAGCTTCCAGCCTGGCCAGATCCAGGCCTGGGCACAGCCTCTGCCCACCACCAAAAGGAGTGAAGCTGCCATTGCTCATGTCCTTCTCCTGTTGAGATTGATTGATTTCTTGACCAATTAGCACATTATTAGACTTCCCAAATCAAATCATAATGATAGGATGCCTCAACAGTAGTACAGCACCATCATTTGCCTAGATTAATTATTTGCATATCATTTTCAGAGCTTACACAAAGTACACAATAGAGGGAAAAAAAGGGTGTGTATTCCTTTCCTGGACAGCTTAAGCTTATGTTGTCTGAATTTACCAGTTCAAAGAACTACCAAATCCAGTTATTTTGGGAGATTCAATTGACTTCTGCCTAGGTGTATATATCAATCACTAATGCAACTTTGAGGGAATCTCTGTTATTTTCTGCAATACTAAGTGTTAGTACAAGGCAATGTCAAATCCATCATGAGATTACTGATATAGAAGTAAGCCCACATGTTAGGAGTCCCACCAAAACCGCACTCATCAAATCCTTATTATGCTGGTGTTGCCTAAAGGGGTAGCAATTGGATGAACATCTCTACCAAATGTGGGGCTCTTTCTTACCTTCCACCTCCATGGGTTGAACTTGTAGGGCTCATCGTAGAGCGTATCATCGAGGTGGACTGACCGGAAGTACACAAACACGCACCACCCCTTGGGGATGAGGTGCCCCTTCACCTCGACGTCGCGCACCGCCTTGCGCATGATCCCACCGATGATGTTGCCCAACCGCAGCGTCTCTGTTATCACCTACACTCCAATTTTCCAAATCGCATGGGGTCATGGGAAAAAAACCACACGGGGCCAGTAGATTTTGAGCTATAGAAATTTATGTTACAGTGTTAATGAACTATACTTACATGTTGTGTGAATGACAATGACATGTAGTCTGTCCATTGCAAGGTCTCACCCATGTCGGTTTTTCGCCTCTTGAGCTGTATGTTCTCCTCCTGGTAGCATTAGAATGTGATTGGTGTTATTATTCATCATTGTTACAACAAGTAATTACTGACGGTGGATTTTATCTTCAGCCGCGATATGCATGTTCTCTAACAGTGGTAGACATGCAGAGGTTTCAATGAGTTTATTGCTCACATGGCATCAAAACAGAAACACAGTCGACACGCGAGTAATTTCTTAGCACTGTAGTGATGTAAATGGAATCTAGCATATGACACAATGCTACTGGTGTAATAGGACATGCTAGCTAGGAAATATTACTGCTGCCTTCTAATCTCCATAGAATAAATAGCCAAATTATGTAACCTTCTTTTTTCCCCAGTTGATAAAAAACCCTCCATACTTCAACCAAAAAAACTATTCCTTGCACATGCGTTTATAGCCGGTTAGAAAAAAAAAACGCATAATAGCACAAACTAATGATATGTAAGTAGATGATACATCATGATAGTAAGCCTTTTCTTTTGTGAGAAGGCGACTCTGTTCTAATGATATGTATGTACCCGACCTGACATTGACAATGATGCAACGCACGTCATCTTGCAAAGATTGGTCCAAACACAAGTAGTAGTAGTATTTCTTTTCAGATGGCACATTAGATAACAAATAATAATGATAGCTCTAAGATGCCAACAAGAAAGGGATGGACCAAGGTTGGCACAACCCTTTATATGCTGCTGATCCCTTCTGCCCACCTACGTATCTCTCCCTTATTCGTAGGCTTTTTATGATCTAGTTTTTGTTTGGGGACACAGATCCTCTGCCATTGTGTGTAGTAGACAATAGTGATAGTAGTATATCATGCACAACACATGGCTCTGACAAAATGAATAGTTGATCATGTTCCTTTCAGACAAAAAAGAAAGAAAATCCAACTCTTTTCAGTTCTGGACCCTTTTTGCTGACTGCCCATGCCCAGCAACAGAGGATCCTTAATTACTTCCTAGGGTATGGTTTTATTTTTCTTTTCTGTTCAGGATTCATCTCTAGCATCTAATTATATGCAGGTATTGATCCAATTAAGAGCTTACTGTGTTGTAAGAGAGGTTTCAGGTATACAGGCTTACTTCCAGTTGGTGCAGGGCGAGAGGGCACTCGCTGAGGAACTTGACGGCGAGCGTGATGAGCACCGGGACGGAGTCCTCGGCGGGGATCATGAGGTCGATCATGTTGTCGGAGATGAGCTCGTCGGTGAGCTCATCGCTGCCGTCTCCGATGAGCACGTCGATGGCGTCCCGCGGCGGCGAGGCGGCGGCCCTCCTTGCCCTCTTCTCCCGGATGATCCTCTGTATCAGCCTCGCCATCTTCTTCTTGGCCTGATGACCACACACACAATAATGTGTCAAAAATGTGCAATGGATCGAGTGCAATTGTATACATTTAATCCAAGATTGTGAAACAGAGAGAACATATTAAGAGAGGTTAATGGTGATGGCAGCTGAGACACTGATCATGCTGCTGCTGATGCTGCATGGAGTAGGGCTGAGCAACATCAGACATAAAGGAGAGACAGAGTGGCTGACAGAAGAGAGTAGTAGAGATCAATGTGTGGTGCAGTGCAGGTTTACATGGAGTACTACAGGTAGAGAGAGAAAGAGAACTTAGATGAGAGGGAGAGAGAGAGAGAGAGAGTACCTGGAGTGATCTGTAGAGCCTAGTGCCAGGCAGCTTAATGGGGAGGGACATGAGGCCGACAATAAATTCCTGGAATTGCTGCTTCAGCTGCTGCATCTCCTCCCCTGCCTCCAGCCCGATCAGGCCCCTCACCAGGATTTCGAACACCACCTGCATTTGCATTTCATCACCATTTCTTGCAATTACATTTCGTTCCATCCTCATCTCTAAAAATTACAAATGTTCAAGACTGTATTTGCATCTCTTCCAGAGGAATACGCAGAGAAAAAATAAACATTTACGAGTGCACAAACACACGCTCTGGTGGCGAACAGGAACGTGGATTTTCGGCTGCTGGTAGTGGTAACTCTACTCCGATGGGGTGGGGCCCACATGGAGGTGAGCCACTCTCTCTCTCTCTAGAGTCAGAATATGAGATGAGAGAGAGAGAGAGAGAGAGAGAGAGAGAGTGTGTGTGATTGGGCCCACTCCTTTTGGGCCTTCCCTTTCCCGGCCTTGTGTAAGTTACTTCCATGTGGTGACACGGGCGCGCACGTGTGCACGCACGCCGGCGCTCGCCCACGCCCACCCACTCTGCTCCTCCTCCAATTCATCCACCCACTCTATCTCGTCGAGGAGCTCGCCGGAGAGGGAGAAGAAGGAGGACGTACCGACTTGGCGAGGTGCTGGACGTGGAGGAGGGAGGAGTCGGGGAAGGAGGAGAGGGCGGGGGAGAGGCGGCGGCGCATGTCGGCGGTGAGCTGGGACTTGAGGTGGGAGGACTTGAAGAAGGCGCCGACGAGGCCGTGGACGCGTCGCTGGAGCGCGCCGTTGATGAGGAGGATGGAGGACTTGCCCATCAGCTCCGTCAGCGACCGCGGGTACCACGGCACGAACGCCCGCGCGTCGCTCTGCAGCACGAACCGGCTCACCTCCGCGTCCGCCGTCACCACCGTCGCCGACCCGAACAGGTGCGACCTGAACACCGCGCTCCCGTGCCTGCACCATGCATGCACACCCATGCCCGTCAGTCAGAGCCGAACGCCTCGGGACGGCGGCGGCGGCGGAGGTGGCTAGGCTTACAGCTTCCGGCGCTTGTCGACGAACGCCTCGGGGCGCGGCGAGTAGGCGCACGACACGAACTCCAGCGTCTCGCCCACCACTGGCCACCCGAAGCTCCCCGGCGGGAGGCGCGCCGCCGCCGCCGCGTCCCCCTTGCCGCTGCCTGCACCACGCCGCCGCCTCCGCAGGAGCTCACTACACAGCACCACCCAAATAACCACGGCGGCGACCGCAAACGCCGGCGCCGCCCAACCGGCGGCCGCCGACACCATCCTTTTCTACCCCTCGAGCCCCTGCAGCAGCTAGCTAGCTAGGCTCCTACGCAAGTGCAGTGCAGCAGCGAGGTTACGAGAGGAGGAGGAGGGGCATGGGTTTGGAGGGGAGGATTATATAATAATGGAATGGAATTGGCAAGTGCAAAGTACACGAGGAGGAAGGGGTAGTAATACTCCAGTATAGTATAGGAGTATAGGAGCAGTGGTGGATCAGAAAATTGGTTTGTTGGTGTCATAACGTGTTTATAGGTGTCATAATATGCTAATTATGCTTAGAACATGATGTTATAGTATATAGATAAACAATTTTGCTATAGGTTTTACCGAAAGTTAAACACCGATGATTATAGTGTTGATCCGCACCTAAATAGGAGTATAGTATAGTATAGTCCCCACGTCTGTGTAATGATTGCGTATGGTGGAACAGTCTCTTGGTGTTCGTCTCGTCGTCGTCCTCCGGCGAGGGGCGACGGTGACGGCCACGGCGGGGAGGAATGGATTATGGATGGATATAGGAGAGGAGAGCAGAGCAGAGGAGTCCCTTCTATCTCTCTCTCTCTAAGTCTCACCTCACCTCCTCGTGCGCACACGCGTAGGGCCCACGCCCATAAAAGGGGCCAAGTGGGGGAGTAGAGACGGGTGCATTGCCGCGCACCGGTCACCACCACCATACTGCTGGCCTAGAGTTTGCCCAACACTATTGGTCGATGATGTTTTAATTTTTCTAAACACACGTTCGCATACTCGTCCCTATAAATACACACATCCTATTTATCAACAGGTACCACTAAAAAAATTAACCATAAATACGAGCACTCATATCAAATCTACGATTTAAATCAGGATAGGTTGATTTTTTTTAAAAAAAACCTAACTAATTGAGCTATCCTTACTTCGTAATGATGTTGATTTGACTACCAATAGCTCTTACATTATCAAAGTTTAATGAAGAATGAAGGGTGAATAACTAATCTAGTAAACTTAATTTGATCGGTTTTATCTTTTTATTGTATCCACACATATCCTTTAAATATTTGTTTTTAGCTTAGGGCTGCGTACGTTTCAAGGTGGTTTGTGTTTTGGATGATCAGGCGTACAGAAAAGAAAACAAGTAACATAATTTGGATGATCAGGCGTACAGGAGTATTAATTATTATAAACTTAAAAACTAGATTTACTTGATTTTTAAAAAATAATTTCTATATAAAAAGTTTTCATATTAAGTGACTAACGAAAATCGAGGATTTAACCAATCCAAAATGTAGTTTAAAACAGGCCCTAAATCATCATTTGGACCACTTGGTGTGCCAAATGGCTGATCCTAGTCATTGGTTGTATTAGAAAAATATCCTTTTACCCTTAATTTACATTATTACATACTCTACAAAAGAGAATAAAAATGAATAAAACGCTTCCCGTTATTTCAACCTTAACCTGCTCATACAAAGGGTTGAGCTTTAACAACTATAGTATCATATACATAATTACTTTCGTAGAATATAAATTACTTTGCATTACTTATAGAAAAAAAAATCATTGTGTGCAAATTGAGTGAAGTGCACCAGCGGTCCCTAAACTTATGCAGGTGTGTCACTTAAGTCCCTGAACTTTCAAATTGCATTTTTAGGTCCCTCAGTTTGTCTCGGGTATCATATAGCTCCAAACGAGTTCTAACCCACTTCGTGAGATGACGTGGCATGCCACGCTAACGCTTATGTGTCTGTGGGATCCACATGTCACTCACATATAAAAAATAAAATTTTAAAAGAGGGGAGATTGAGGAGAAAAGGAAGTTTTTAATTTTGAAAAATAAATGAAAAAGAGAGGAGAAAAATATGTTATTAATTTTTTTTCTATATGTGACTGACATATGGGTTGGGTTCTACTGACACGTAGGCACCACCATGGCATGCCACATCAGCACACGGAGCGGTTTAGAGCCCGTTTGGACTTATATGACACCCGAGACAAGTTGAGAGACCCAAAAATGCATTTTGAGAGTTCAAGAACCTAGGTGACACACCAATATAAGTTTATGGACCGTCCGTGCACTTTACTCTTTAAAAAAAATAGCATCATATAATTATTAGATGTATTTATGATAGTCAGATCTATAGGAGTTTTCATCATACAGTTACACCGTATTGATAGTAAGCCTTTTTATTTTCTATATATATGAACGAGGGGTAAAAGGATCATTTAATCGAGACATGTTGATAATATTTAGTTATCTGGCTTCCTAAGTAGGTCTAAGGATGAGTTTGAATTAAAACAAAAACTTAAAGGACTAAGAAGAGCAGATTGAAACATAAGAACCAAGCTGAGCCTTAAGTGAGACATAGACTATCCACCCTTTAATAAATAAAAAGGAAAAAGTACGAATTACCCCCTCGAACTATCGCGGTCGGCCGAATTACCCCCCTGAACCACAAAACCGGACATTCCTCACCCTCAACAATGCAAACCAGACGAATTACCCCCCTCGACCCAATCCACGGTGGTTTTGGTCTACGTGGCGTACGCGTGGCAGTCCAGTCAACATTCTATTCATTAAAAAAATGTGGGACCCACTCTCTCACTCTCACTCTCACTCTCACTCTCACTCACTCTGTCGTCTCTCTCTCTCTCGCTCTCACTCTCTCCCTCACGCACACAGCGGCGAGGATGGGGGGTCGGAGGCGGCATCGAGGACAGCGGCGTGCACGCACGCGGCCGGGGGCCGGAGGCGGTGGCGAGGACGGCGGCAGGGCCGAGACGCGCACGGCGGCGAGGACGGCGGCACACACAACGCGGCGGCGCGCACGCACGCGGACGGGGGCCGGAGGTGGCGGCGAGGACGGCGGCATGGCCGAGACGTGCACGGCGGCACGCATGGCGCGGCGGCGCGCACGCATGGCGCGGCGGCGCGCACGCACGCGGACAGGCCCCGGAGGCAGCGGCGCAGCGCTCTGAGGATCTCCTCCCTGTACTCCAAAGCTCGTGCCGTCGTGGTCACCGATGGCTTCAGGTTGGGCATCACGGCCTCCCAATATGCATCGCGCTGCCCAACAACATGCAAAAACGATCATGCAAGCAGTCAGGCCACCTCAATGAGACATTACATCGAAAACTAGCCGTGCGTCACCAGTAAAACGAGCCAGCGAAGCCGAGCCAAACAGACCAACCTGTGGGGAGCACGGCTAAGAGGACATCGCCTTCCCAGAGGTGGAGGTGTCAGTCGTCGGGCCGCGTGATGGAGCTCCTGCGGCGGCGGTACCGATCTGATGGAGGGGAAGGTGAAGGGGAAGGAAGGAAAGCGTGGCCCGGAGGTCGACGGAGCACGCGGGGCGTGCTGCCGTCCTCGCTGCCGCCTCCGGTCCCCGGTCACGTGCGTGCGTGCCGCTATCCTCGACGCCGCCTCCGGCCCCCCGTCCTCGCCGCTGTGCGCGTGAGAGAGAGAGAGAGAGAGAGTGAGAGAGAGAGAAAGATGACAGAGAGTGAGAGTGAGAGTGAGAGAGAGAAGAGAGTGGGTCCCACATTTTTTTTTAATGAATAGAACGCTGACTGGACTACCACGCGTATGCCACGTAGACCAAAACCACCGCAGATTGGGTCGAGGGGAGTAATTCGTCCGGGTTGTGTAGTTCGAGGTGAAGAATGTCCGGTTTTGTGGTTCAGGGGGGTAATTCAGACGACCGCGATAGCTAGGGGGGTAATTCGTACTTTTTTCCAAATAAAAACTATATGGTTTTATTTAGGATGTAATGCATAACTACTAAGTATATGCAAACTCACAATTAAAATAGTATTGGCCAAACTTGAGATATAAACTCTCAGCGACAAATTTTTAAAAATGGAGGGGAAAAATCCTCTCACCGAAGTTCGATGCTATATAACCAATTTTGCCATAGTTATAATCTTGTGTGTGTGAGGATGGTTCATCTATGTGATAACAAGTTAAAAGTATGATAACCCTTATGTTTGCACTAGCCTTACCCCTTTTTTTAAGACATCACGATGCACGCGATGATGAACCACCGAAGTGAATAGTTATAATCTTGCGCGTGTATGCACTAGCACGATGCTTTACTCTATCTGCAACGGTGGCAACCTGGTCAATGTACTTTCTTCGTCACATAAAAAGAACCATGTCTAGACTGTATCACATTCCGTACTAGATTTTTTTTATGCAATAGTTGAAATATAGTTCCCGTTCTTTTCTCCAACAAGAGTTGGATGAAGAAGGCCATCAAGTTTGACAAACAACTTTGCCCTCCTCTTTGTGCAGCGATGAAAGACAAGGGACACGAAACCCACCCTACCCTGCCCTCCTTCATGGAGTAGAGGCTAACATTGGTCACCGCCCCGCCAACTTTAGAAAATTTGCATTGTAGTTCCTTCAGGGCATGTACAATGGAAGACACAGGGTGTCCTCTCTGACTGAAGACACTCATATGGACACTCGTCTCTCAATAAAGGCCACAACTAGATGGGTTCCTCAAAATCCGAAAAAACTGGATGAAGATACTCTAGCTCACAGTGGGTATCCCTACGAAAGTCACGGTATTAAATTTCCTCAACTACCCCTCCTCGGCACCTCCTCCGACGCTTTCTCCCTCCCTCTCTCTCACCATCGCTCATCGCCTCCTCCCGCACTCTCCCGTCACCGCCGCCTCCCGCCCATCCGCCGCCGCTGCTCCCTTCTCTCTCCCTCTCTCACGCGTCGCGGCTCTCTCCCTCATCCTCTCTCTCCCTTTCGCCACCTCTCTCTCGCCGCCGCCCGTCGCCGCCGCCGACGAAGAGTGGCGCGCGGGTTGCGGTGGCCGTCATTGTCCTCCCCGCCTCGCGCTAGCCTCGCCCCGCCGCCGTTGCCGACCTCGGTTCCGTCACCGCCGGCGGTCGGAGGCAGCATATTTGGCGCCGTCGTGTGCGGATCTGGCCCCCTCGCGGCTAGATCGAATGGAGCGACGCCGGCCACGCCGCATCGAGGAGGAGGTCGCGGCACCGGCGGAGGAGGTCACGCAGGTCGTCGTCGGCATCGTCTCCAGGTCATTGTCCTCTCCCTCTCACCGCAGACTCTCACCTCTCTCCCTCTCCCTCGCCGCTACCGCTGCTGGCCTCTCTCTCTCCCTCTCTCTCCCGTCACCGGCGTCCGTGAGGGCGATGAGTGAGAGGGGCAAGGGGTGGAAGGTGAAATTTTTCGGTGGGAACGGTGTCCACAAGCCATGCTCGCGCCCAACGCGCATCCCCTGCCAAAAGCGAGCGAGGGCCACGTCCCCAGCAGAGGCACACGTTCCATCGCAAGAGGACGGCATGGACAAAAAAGCAAACGGCCATCGATGGAGTGTGCTAAGGATAATCTCCAGGGGCACGCATTGAACATGCCCTCATGGAGTAGAGGCTAACATTGGTCACCAGCCCACCAGCTTTAGGAAATTTGCAT